GTATTTTAGGAGTAAAAATGTTAATTAACCTAAAGTTAATCTAAAGTTAATGGTCAATATCAATATTTATTAGTTGACCAAAGTAAATTTTGGTCCCTTAATTTTACAAAATATTTTATTTTAATCTTTTAATTTTATAATATTTTTAATTCTTTAACCCTGACACTATTAGTTTTAAATAATTTTTTTATGCCTATCATTATTATTTTTTTAAAAATAAACTTAATAAGTCAACATTTGAGAATGTTTTATGGATATTTAAAAGTTTAATATAATTTTTTTTGTGATAAACTAATGATGTTAGGGTTAAAGAATTAAAAATATATTTTTTTAAAATTAAGAGATCAAAATGAAACTTTATGTAAAGTTAAAAAATTAAAAATATACTTTGACCCAAATTTAGTTTAGGGCAGCATTACAACTATTTTGATGCGTGAGAAGAAACATCACTCCAATAAATAATTTAGAATATCCAATGCTTCTCATGAAATACTTTTGGAATAAAAATACCTTTTAATTATTAAGCTTTTAAAAGAAGAAATATTGAGGGCATCTGCTGTTGTTCAGAGGTAGAGATTTGCCACTCATGCTATACAAAATGTTGTATGTATTTTGAATATTGATTATTTGAAAATGATTAGATTTAATTTCTTTAAATATTCTAAAATCTAGATAAATTAATAAATAGATATGATAATAACAGGGGGATTCTTTTTAGAATTGGATCATTAAATTAGAAAATTTTTGACTATGATATACTCCTTCCAGATCACAATATATGTCATTATTAATTAATTTATAGTTTACAAAAATATTAGTTAAAACCTTATTTTTTAAAAAAATATTTACATCTTTTTATTTATACCCTTTTAATAGTTCATAGCAACACATCTATTATCTTTAAATATGAAACATCTAAAGACAGGAAGTAAAAAAAAAAAAAACCCAAGGGTATGAATGAAAGAAAACATAAAATTTATTTAATGCTTTATATTTTGAATTAAGTAGAGAGCTTTACAAAGCGACTTTTATTGTGATTTGTAGAAAATAAGTGGTAGTAATGTAAATAAAATCCTAAGTGATAATGACTTTAATTCCAATCAAATAGTAAGGGTTTTGATTGAGATTCCATTTCCAACTTGTTATCATCTATGGATCCTCTAGTTTTAACGTAGAAGTTAAAGAAAAATGATAAATAAATCCCACCAAATTAGTGTAATGCGAGTGAAATTTCATAAAATCAGCTAGTGAATTTTCCATGAGCAACCAAGAATGCAATAACTAATAGCCTTCCATGATTCATGAACGACAACTTTCGTTTTCAGCATTAACAATTATGAGTTTTAAATTAATAATCCCCATAGAATTAATTAAGAGTTCATTCTCCACCAATAACCCAAAACAAAATAACAAGTAGCCTCTCACAAATAATATTCGTTTTGGATATTAACAACTATTCTCTCCATTTTTATATATATAAAAAAATAATTGTATCATATAATTTAAAAAAAATTAATTAACTCTAATAATTATGTTTAAAAATAAAAAATTAAATTAAAATACTCATGTATTTTATCAAAATATGGCTGTATTAATTATTTTTTGTGAATGAAAAATATGAGTTTATAAGAGGCAATTTAAAAAATTTGCAGAGAATGAAGCATTCCCTTGTTTCAGGAATGAGCATTACTCTCTTGGACCTTCGGATTATTATTGGAAATGTAACTTTTAAATTAAAATGTATATTGTTAAAATTTCTATTGACTATGCTGTCCCTTTTCTTTTCCAACCATTTATTGTCCATCGCCACTCCATTGCCCTTCTTCTCCATTGCTGTTCTTGACTGTTGAATTCAAATTTGCCTTTAGCGATGCCTTCTTTGTCTTGGATTCATCTAGAGTAGAAGAAGCAATTCATTGAAGGATGTTTCTTTCCTTATCATATGACAGGTTATTTTTGTCATTTGCCAGAAATTTTTTGTCGTAAAAGTCTCTTAGAAAGTAAAATTAGGATATGTTTGGGTTGAATCATCAAGAGAAAATTGCATGCAAGGGCAAATGAAAATAGTTATTCACAAAAAAGAAATAACAAGAAATGAATTATTATTAAAATAGAAATATTGACTTGTTTTTTCTTAAATGATAATGTAAAATTCCTTACTTAAACACCGTAAATCTCCATAAGTCAAGGTAATCTAAGGCCTAACCTCAAAAGGACTATCAGGTTTAATAAAAATTGTAAATGAGAATTCTCATTTTCATAATATAAAACACTCTCATGCATTTTTAACATTTACAAATTGAAGTTTAAAACATATGTGAAAGTATGAAATTTAAAACAAATTGATGCATTTACAAAAAGGTAAAAAATCATTTTCTGCCTAAAACAACACGTGTGTTGCAACATACTGTTGATGTGCCGCAATGTGCCATTTCTATGTCATGCACCACAGCACATTATATGAAATTTGACAGCACAGAGCTATCATATGACAGCTTTTAGGATGAACTTTCAATGCATCTTATTCCTTCATCCGACATCCGATTGAGATAATTTAAGTGTCTAAAGAGAGCTTTCTACTAGCTTAACTAATGACACTAATTTCACAACCAAATAATTTTTTTAATCAAAAGTTAGACACCCTTATCAAAACTCACTTTTCTTTCACTTTTTTTAAAGCCAGGCCTTATATAAAAGACTTAGGGCTAGGCTTGTAAGCCTTTATTATTATTTTTTATTTTTTAAAATTTTTAAAAATTAAAATTTTTAATTATAATATTTCATATATTTTTAAAAATATAAATTATAATGTTTAAAAATTAAAAATAAATAATATAAATTTTAATTTTAAAGTATAAACATATATTCTAAAGTTTAAATTTAATTTAAAAATTAAAAATATTTTATTTTTTAAGGAAAAAAAAGGGTCTAAAAAGGACGCTAAAGTTCGAGCCCGTTTTTTCAGGGCCTATTAGGGCCGGGCTTGAAAGCCTGATTTTCTTAAAAAATGTCATTTTTAAGTCCGAACTCTTATAAAAATGGGCTTAAACGAGTAGCTCTCCAGGCCCGACTCTTATTCCTGACTCTACATACTTTTATGTATATCACAACGACTTGCCAAACTTTGCATCAAATATGAATTTATAGTAATAATGAATTTCAAACATTTTAGTTCAATAAATAATTAATTAACAAGCAATTATATGAACTAAATCTTTCTTCAGTTACCTTAAACTTTTGAAAGGTAAAAGGTTTTTCCCTCGAACACAAACTTCTAAAGCTTCTTCCCAAATTTGAATGGTGCCAAAATAATAAATCTACAATCAAATCGTAAAGATATCCATTAATACTCTTATTTGGACCATTTCCAACACTCTACTCAACATTTCAAACTCAAATAAAGTACTATCTCCTATTTCTCATTATATCATTGAATTTACAAAATTTCAATAGCCCACATTATCATTAATGAGCCATTAAATCATTATTAATGGCTTCAAAACAACTCCAAACTCCTCCATTAAATGTCATTTTCGGCTGTTATTGGGCCTTACCAACCAACGACTTGTAAACTCATTAATGCTAGGTTAAAATAACCCTAATAACTCTCAATAATTATATTTTAACCAATGAGTTTAGACCCTTAGCTCATATATGCTGAAAATCAGTATTACAACTCAAACCTTAACTTAACTCCTCAAGAAAAATGAAAAAGAAAGGGAGAAAATGAGTTTATAAACCTTACCTTAAATATTTTTTAGCTTCAAAATGCTCTCAAACCTTCAAAGAATTAAGTCTTGGCAGAGAAGCCTTAGGTCTTTTGTTTTCTCATACTGTTCCTTTCTAATTTTTTGAACAAATAGTGACTGGTTTAAGCAGAAATTTGCAGAGACGCCTCTTCTTTGTGTACTATCATCTGTACTGCACATCACAACATGTGACACAGAAACACTCCCTTCATATTTTCTCTCTTTTTAAAGCTTGGGTGGTCTAACTTCACTTCGAATATAAATTCATGGCTGAAATCATAACTAAACATACTTATTAAACTTTTCTAGTCACACATCTCATTAATTAATTCAATTACAGTACTTTACCTTACTTAATTGAATCTTAATTTTTTGAGATGTTACAACTTATTATTGATTCTTATCCGTGAATAACTTTTTTCATAAGTCTTTGGATACAATTCTCTCAACCATTAAATTTGAATTCATATTTTATTATATTTTCTTTGTAATTTTAAGTTCCTTCTAGACTTTATTTATATGAAATTTCAACTACTCAAACTCTTTTTTTTCACGTTTTTATTTATTAGTGCTTTTGTTATTCTTGCCACTCTTATTTTTCATTCTCATCTCTTATTTATTGAAAAATAAAGGTAAGTTTGTTACTTTCAATCTTTCATTTATGATTTGAATATTAGCTTGTTTCTCTTTTAATTTTTTTACACTCAAATAAAAAAATTTAAAAGGCATAGATTTTGAACATAAGATTTTCAATTTAAAACTTAAATCCATCAATTCAAACATTTAATGCTTTATTTGGATATATATGAATTTGAATTTGGGTCAAATCTCTTATTTGGGCATTTAAAAATTTAAGGATCTCTATATTTTATCTTAATTCCTCTATAATTTAAAATTATTTATAAACTCTTATTATTTTAAATTATCTAAACAAAAAAATTTAAATACGTATATTTAAAATGTGAAATCTTAAATCTAAATTTATCTATCCAAACACTAACTTTATCTTAATTTAATTGATTTCATGAGATTTCATTAGCATTTCACTGTTTAGGTGGGCGTTGTTTTGTCATTCTTCCAAAATAAAAAGGCCAAAATGAACTTTTATTCGCAAAACAACAACAATCATATTAACCGGACTAGATAATGGCATTGTGGTGATTCCGTGAAAAAAGATACACCCACGTGTCCTTTTACTCAAAGGAGTCTCTTTCTGTGTCAGCTTCTTCTTCCTGCCTAGTTCCTACTTAATCCGACTCTCTCTCTCTCTCTGTCTCTCCCACTCTCTCTCTCTATCTCTCTCTCTATATCATTCTCTACCTAAATCTTCCTCGACGTGTAGAGGGAAGGACCTGTAATACCCTTTCTTCTTTACACGGAGGATTCATCGACTCTGGAAATATGGATGAGAATTTAGCTCTAATCGAATCCATTCTCCAGGAGGACGAGGAAGTTGAGCGAAGAGCGAGAGCGACGCAAAACGACGACGCCCATGGCTGGCAAACGGTGATCAACAAGAAGCGCAACCGCAAGTCTTCGAAGCCCTTGTCGGAGAAGAATTCCGTTGATCCCGGCGTCGAGGATGTTAATTCTTCACCCAATGTTTTCAGTGGAATTGAGCAGCATTCTGAGGAGCGCCGCCGCCGGATTCTGGAGGCTCAGATGGCCTATGAATCTGCATCTGCGGATGCCGATACGGGCAGATCGAGGCGGCATTCCGACGAAAACGACGATAGCAGCGACGAAGTCCAGGGGATGGGAGTTGAGAATGGCTCTGTTGTCGAGGTAAAGAAAGTCAAGAAGAAAAAGAAGCCGAAGATGCCCAAGGTGACAGTGGCTGAGGCCGCTTCGAAAATCGACGCTACTGATCTCACCACATTCCTGGCTGATATTACTGTGAGTATCGATGTTCAATTTTTTGTCCAATGTTTTTGGGCCGTGTTCGATCTGCTTGTACTGGATTCGATTTTGTGTTTGTGCTATTATTGGTTGAATGTGAATTATATGTGCGCAGGTTTCATATGAATCACAGCAAGATCTTATGCTCATGCGATTCGCTGATTACTTTGGGCGTGCATTCTCGTCAGTCGGTGGGGCTCAATTCCCATGGTTAAGGACGTTCAAAGAGTCCACGGTTGCAAAGATGGTTGATGTGAGTTTCTTGTGGTTATTTTTGGAGCACAATTTAGTTTAGATTTTGAGGGCAAAAGTTGTCCGCTTGTCTGAACGTTGTTTTACAAAGCGAAATTTCGGCCTGTGTGTTAGAGCTTAGATAATTCATATTCTTTTGATGCCAATTACGTATGGTGTTGTATTGCATTTATAAATACTTGTGTTCTGGGGAGAACTTTAATTGGATGGCTTAAAGCTTTTCCCTGTTAATCTCTGATATGAACTTATCTTTATAAGATGATTGTGTAATTCAATGTTGAATCATGCATCTTGCGAGATATCTGTTCTTTTGTTACGTGAACATTGTTAGTAGTCTATCTGATTTTGTGGAATGTGGATATCATTATTATTTTTTAATTTATTCTTGGAGTTGAGTGTTTTTAGTTCTGGTTATCATTGGTTTTTCTTATTATGTTGTTTTGTTCCTTCATATAGATCCCTCTTTTACACATATCTGAGGACATATACAAAACATCAATTGATTGGATCAGCCAGCGTTCTTCTGAAGCACTTGGGTCATTTGTGTTATGGTCATTGGACAGCATTCTTGCAGACCTTGCCAATCATCAAGGAGCTGCTAAGGGAGCCAAAACTGTGGCTCAGCAAACGTCATCTAAGTCTCAGGTAGCTTCTTAAATCATACCATCCTACCTAATATCTTGGAGTTGAACTAAATCTGTAGAGCAGTTTGAGTCTCTACTTAATAGCTAGTTACCTGCATATTAGTCATAATTACTTTTAACATGGATGGCAGTGGCCTGACATGTACTTTTCTAATGCATAATTGGTGTGAATTGAGCGTATCTGCACATAAACATGAGGGGAGATCAAGGTTCTGAATAATTAGATGTTCATTCAAACAAATTAATCCCTGTGATTTTATTTGTTTTATGTTTTCTTTAATAATTATCCCTGCGGTTCTGCAAAAAAATTCACTGCCTATTTTGCATGTGTCGGCATTTATCTGTGTGGGAGGGTTTGTATGGTTTCTTCTTTGTCCTATTTGCTTGGATTGATTAATTTTATCAGCATTGTTGCATAGCTTTTTCTTGACATATGGCTCAAGCTGGTAATACTTTTAAACGTTTTGATGATGTCTTGCATATGATATACGTTTAATGAAAATGTGGTGTGTTGTTTCTGTGAAGGTTGCCATATTTGTGGTGTTAGCAATGGTTCTTAGGCAAAAACCTGATGTCATGATCAGCTTATTGCCCACAATTAAGGAGACTAAAAAATTTCAAGGACAGGATGAAATCCCTCTTGCTGTTTGGGTCACTGCTCAGGTAACTGTTTTCTGCATGATTGACTATGTTCCCATATAAACAAATTTATTATATGGATTTTTAAATGTGATTCTTTTTGTCTAGGCATCTCAAGGAGATTTGGTTACGGGGTTATACTTGTGGGTATCTCTTCTCTTGCCAATGTTGAGTGGCAAGTCAGGAAGCAATCCTCAATCAAGAGACTTGGTTTTACAATTGGTGGAGAGGTTAGAAATAGTAGTTTTCCCCTTTATTCCTGATTTATTGGTTGCAATGATAAGTACATAATTTGTTGCCGTTCCCTCCCATGTTTGATGGAATTCCTTTTTTCATCTTTTTATGAAGCAGAATCTTGTCACCTCCTAAAGCTCGTACTATCTTATTGAATGGTGCTGTCAGAAAGGGCGAGCGTGTCGTGTCCCCTTCTGGTCTTGATGCTTTATTGAGAATCACCTTCCCTCTCCCTTCAGCCCGGGTCAAGGTAGATAGAGAGCTGAGAGAAGCATCTATTTTATAGTAACATGCTTTGCTATCTTCAGCTGTCTTTACAAAGTTACGTTTAGGTTTCTTAGTTGTACTTTTTGCTCAGGCTACAGAGAGATTTGAAGCTGTCTATCCAACATTAAAAGAAGTAGCCCTAGTAGGATCTCCTGGAAGCAGAGCAATGAAGCAACTGGCACTACAGATATCAAACTTTGCATTCAAAGCTGCTGGAGAAGGTGATGTTGAGTCGATATGGATTGTCCTTATGTTTTTCCTGCTTTTCTTCTCACATGTTAAATATTGAGTTAATGGGGCCAGTGTTGTGTATTTTGTGGAAAACTAAATCCATGAATCTTGTACAGCCAATCCTGACCTATCAAGGGAGGCAAGTGACATTTTTATATGGTGTTTGACTCAGAACCCTGAGTGTTACAAACAGTGGGTAAGTTCAAGGAACAGTATCATCCAATTCTTTTCACTATTTAGGACTCCTCATCTCCTTTTCTAGTAAAAATACAATAGGACCTCTTTGCCTATCTAGTACTTACAAATGCTTTGCTCTGGAAACAGGACATACTTTATATGGATAACCTGGAGGCAAGTGTGGCTGTTTTGACAAAGCTTTCTGATGACTGGAGGGAACACTCTCTGAAACATCCTACTCTTGATCTTTTGAGGGAAACTGTTAAAAGTTTCAGACAGAAGGTGATCCATTTTCTTTTTCCTTGTCTTCCCATTTGTTAATGGGAATGTGTGTGGTTTTGGAAAATTAAGCCTCACTAACACAGACCTATGTTCTCATTTTGTCCAACTTGGTATAAAGATGTTTTTTGTTTGGGAGAATGACAAAGAGGTTTCATAATGACTAATTAATCTTAGTTAAATCTCATGGTTGAAGAATAAAAAAATTTATTTTTCCTATTAAAATTTAGAATGTAAGTTGCAAATTCATCACAACAGAATTGTAAAATTGAGAGATTAAGTTGCAAATTTATAAAATTTGTTAGTTGGGAAATAAATTGAATTAATTGGTCCTTTTGGAATCTCTTTTCATTCTTCCTTTTTGTCTTGCAGTTATGTTGTTGCGGGTATCAAAAAAATGTGTATTGAACAAGCAATTATGCTTTAAGATTCTAGGGCCTTGCGCTATGTTCTACTTAGAGTCTGTCAAAAATTTCAAGGCCATGTCTACTTGCCTGATGTGATTAGTTGTTCCAGCGTGCCTCTTATCTTGAATTCTAACATTTATATCATGAGTAGTGGAAAATACATCATTATCATGGTTACCTTGTTTAATTGTTCCTGTGTTACAGAATGAGAAGGCCTTGGCCGAGGCCCATGACGGCACTTACGTCGCATTACTGAAAAACGCAGACCAGCACTGCAAGGCTATTCTGCGGCAAGTGTCCAATGGCTATGGATGCATGAAGAGCTTGGCGTTCATGTCTGTTGTACTCGGCATCGGTGCCGTTATCTTGTCCCAGAACATGCATTCCTGGGATCATAACAAACTTTCGGAAATGTTAAGGGAGTTGCTCCAGTAGAGAGGTTTGCCGTGACTGACTGATGATTTAGTCTGCTTATATCCATCATGGATCACTTACTTTAAGCACATGGTCCATAATAAAGTGGGATGAGGAAGATTTAATTTATTCTACTTTTCAACATAATGGGAATTAGGAGTGAAAGAAAAAGGAGTAAATAGTAATAGCACAGTGATGGAAGCTTATGGGCGTTTTACACAGGGATTGATGTGTTCTGTTGTCTAGTTTCAACTTTCAAGGAGTGCCAAATGGCTATAGAGAAACATAAATCAAGGTGAAAACAAGATGGTGCTTAATTTAAAATTTTGAAGCATTTATTTTACCCATTGGATTTCATCTTTTATTTTACCTGTTATACTTTGTTACTGTTATTAGATTGTTTCGATGGTGCTTCCAGCCTTCGAGTATAAATCCCTCTTGGGAGCGCAATCAATTAAACCAACTCATTTTATATTTCAAAAATTACACTTTCAAATTGAAATTTAGAGGGTGTGATATGATATTGGATTCGAAACTCCTATTCATATTGCCTAAAGTGATAATTCTATATAATATGTTAGACCTGTTTTATAATATATTATATGAAGTTTTAAAAACGTATTGCATTGTTCACTTTTTTTTTTAAATAGATAGTATAATCTAATATATATATATATATATATATTATAATAGACATACATACAAGGAAAATCACATCCACTCGAAAAAATGAATATTGACACAATCATGCATATCTTATTTGGGCCGAATGCAATCATACGTTCCAGATTTCATAAAACCCACATTCTGTTTTATCATGTTGATATTTGATGGCGTGGATTAATATTTTTTTATCAGGTTTAAATCTTTGAGATTGTTATTCGTAAATTCATATAAATTTTTAAATATTTTCGTTCATTTTATTATTTTTTATAAAATATAAAAATTTATTTCTCTTTTTTAAGACAAAAAAGTTGATGTATTTTTAATTTTAAAAGATTTAAATCTTTTATCTATCCTGTTTATTTGTGCGGCCAGAACTTTTGAGCAGTGCTTTTTGCTTCGAGCAATATTTTAGTCTTCGAAATATATATTTTGGTTTAATATAATTCATTAATGTTTGAATGCAGTTTTCTATTCGTAAGGTGTTATTTATTTTAACATTTTATGATAAATTCAAGTTATTCAATAATAAATAATTAACATAAATGTTCATTGTTATTAATGGAATAATATAATGAAATTTAGGCAACTACATTGATTCTATGATAAGCAATGACATCTATATATTAATTCTCTATATATGGTTGGCCAAAAAACTTCTCTACATGCGAACTTTGTTTATGCGTTAAAAATTTAGGGCTTATTTGATTCTATTTCCTGTTTTTATGTTTTTAAAATAATTTTATAGATTAACTTTTAAGAATAAGTTTTGGAAATAAAAAATAAAAATAATATGTTTCAATCATTATTATGAAAAATATATTTATAGTAGTGAAATGAAGGGTGAAAGAATAATTTATTTTATTAATATAATTATCATTAATGAAAACATAATATTTTTTGTCTTTGTTCTAGTTTAAAGTAACAAAACATTAAAAAAATGTTCTGGTTTTTAAATTTTTAAAAATAATGTTTAACTTTTTTAAAATAGAAAACAAAAATCAAATTTTTGAACTCTGTTTTTTTTTAAAAAAAAAACTATTCTGAAAATAAGTAATCAAACGAGCCTTAACCCTTCCCCGACCTTTATTTAGGTGACTTGTATAGATTTAATGTGCTGGAGATACAATATTCTCTAAAATAAAATGTTAATTAGTTTATTCCTTACCTACCCCTTCGGTGAAAACATATATTTACTGAATGAATGTTCGTACTGAGTGTTTATTTTCCTGTCATTTTTATTTTTATTTTGTTTTGCTGTTATGCTTTTCCTTTGATTAAAAAAAAAAATTGCATGAATGTGCCTATTTTGACCAAAAAAATGTGTTTCCATGTACATGCATACAAAAAAGAGAACACAAATTTAATGTGTAAACGCGTGCACGCGTGGACGAGCCTTGTCAAATTGATTAGGATGCTTTGGCTCCACTTTCATTTTCTCCATGAAAAATAATATTATTGATGGAATGTAGAGTCCTAAATGGGAATGATAACTTGAATATTATAAATAAGAGTGTTCACAACATGGGTGAGATTGAGATAACTCTATATCACATTTTTTCTTGAAAATTATATGGGACTTCATTTTTGTCTTGATAAAACAAACAAAACATGAAAGAAAGATTTAAATAACAATATTTATTACAGTAATGACTTGTTAAGTCTAAAACCAAAACAACACAGGTATATATATTCAAGAAAAAATTGTTAAAAATGGCTTGACCAGAAATTTAATTGCCCATAAGGCCTTGGGACATATTTTAAAGGGAGGTCCTATGCTGTCAATAATTGTTGGAGGGTAAATAACTCAAACGCCCTTAATGACAAAAAATAAATGTTGAGCAAGGTCCTTCATTGTTAATATGTCACATTGATCCTTCATATCAATATGTCACATAAGGTCTTTTGTTGTCAATAATGTCAGTGTTAATATGTCACACAAAGTCCTTCGGTGTTAGTATGTCACCAAAGGTCCTTCAGTATCAATATGTCATATGTAATGTTTCTTCCATGATATACAAGTCATCTTCAACAAAATGTAATGTTTTTTTTTACATATATTCAAATATATCATATGTATATTTGAATATCCCTTACATATGTCCTATTAAAGCCATATGTAATGTAAACATTTTACATCAAGGCATTATCTTCATGGTATGCAATACAATATTCAAATATATGGAAACTAAATTGTATTTCCTTAAAGTTGCAAGCACATAGTAGAAGAAAGATTGCATATGGTTGAAGCTAAATTGCATTTCATTGAAGATTGTATGCATATAATGAAAAAAATATAGCATATGATTGAAGTTAAATTGCACTCAATGTAAACATTTTACACCAAAACATTATTTTCAAGATATGCAATATCATATTTAAATATATAAAAAGCTGAATTGCATTTCTTTGAAGATTGCATACCTACGGTTGAAAAAGGATTGCATATGACTGAACTAAATTGCATTCAATGTAAACATTTCACTCCAAGAAAGCATTTTTTAGGATATGCAATCTCATAGTTGAATATAAGTGAAAGATAAACTGCATTTATTTGAAAATTGTGTGCATGTAACAAAAGAAGGATTACATATAATTGAAGTTAAATTGCATTTGACTTAAACATTTTGTATCGAGACATTATTTTTAAGACATACAATCTTATGTTTGTATATATGGAAGCTAAATTGCATTTTCTTGAATTCAAATATTCATTTATCATATCATGCCATTTTGTACAATAAGAATCACAAAAAGTGGATATCCATATCCTGAAATATGTATTCACCAAATCATGCATGCTTTATAAATAGAAACAATTTTATGGACATGAACATTTACAAAAAGATCCATCCAACTAATACTTATAGTCTATTTTTACTTCTTTGAAATTAATGCTAGCATCTTTACAAAATGTCATTTATACAATTTTTACAAAACGTCATCTATATAGCTTTGAGAAATACAACAAGAAAACCCAGATCGAGTGAGATCTCATCAAGAAGGGCCAAAATCAATCTTGAGTTGTCTTCTTAGCTAGGGTTAGAATCCTAATCTATTTTGCCTTCTTGGCTAGTGGCTACTTTCCCATATGAGTGTAAACCAGAACCACTACAAAATACAATAAGCTGGACATGAATATTTACATTTCCAATACATATCCATCCACATTTCTAATACAATTTTCAAGATGGCGTGAAAGTGGATGATTTTGATAAACTTTTTCAATGGGATCCTCTTCAAAAAAATTTTCTAGTTTTTCAAATGATCCATCTTCTTCGTTAAGAAGAGGCTTCATTATTTTGCCCCAATATAACTAATTCCATCTTCTATGGAGATTGTAACAAGATGTTGAATGTTGGATTTGTTTCTAATAAGCATCACTAATGTTCCATTATTTTATAGAGCAACCAATCACTTCCACTAGCATACATTTTAGGGTCAAATTGAAAGAAGTTCATGAACCATGCTCTATTTTGGTGTTTCATGTATTGAGAAAATGGTTGACTAGTGTCGACATCCCACATTTAGATTCACCCATATACGCTTGAAGCCAATTATAGGCCTCGAATTGAGACTTGAAATTGGAGTTGGAAGACAATCGAGTGACAAAGAAATCAAGAGAAACATATTGAAGAACTAAAGAGGAATCAAGTAACAATAAAGTAACCAAGACCTCACCATACTCTCCATTGTCGTCGTTGATGTCGGAATCATGACCACTTACTATTGTAATCAGAATCATAGAGTTGTAACCAAAACAATGCTAGAAATTACATGGGAGTAGGAGAAGATAGAGGGAGAAAATTTGGGTAGAGATAATTTAATCATTTAACTCTCAAAACATATTGACATCACAAGATTATTAGATAGGGATGCATAGCGAAAGATTAAAATTTTAAAGTTCTTATTTTGATATGGACTGAATGAACTCGTTTAAGTCAAGGTAGATAGAAGAGTTACCTTTTAATTCTTTAAACTTGGTGTATGTTCTCTTCAAGAGTTTAGATCTTAGGAGATGACAACATAGATCTACTCCCTCTACTAGTATCCACACGAACAGCTCTCTAACTTGAACAGTGTACTAGTGCTCTCAGCGTCCGTTCCCTTTTGAACGTTATTTTTTTTTTCTATAGGGTGTTTCGTAGCTCTCAAAGTGTTTTTTGCCATAATAAGTTTTCTAACTATCTCATATTTCATAAAGGATGTTCCTATCTATATATGGTATATAAATAAGGGTTTTCATGATTCACTTAAAAGGCCCACGAAAATATAATTAAATTTATCTCATAAATTTAATCCATGATATCACATCTAATTTAATTTTATCTTATAAATTCAAATTATAAAATTAACATGATATTCTCTCATATCATGTTAGTTATTAAATTTAATCTATCATACAAAATTAAATTTAAAACTAACATAACATAACATAATATATATATATATATATATATTAAAAAATATAAAATATTTTTTGAAAAATTGAATATTTAAAAATGTAAGGCATTTTTAGTCTTTCGAGACATAGTCAGTGCCTTTTTTTAAAAGTGCCCCTATTGATGAGTAATTTTATATTTATTGTAAGGTGTTTAATAGGAGTAAATATGAAAAGGTATGGCTAGTTTAAAAGTAGGTAATTACTTTATTAGGAGATGAGATTCGTTTAACAAATGGAGTATAATTTAAAGTAAAAGAACACAACTATAACCACATCAACTCAAAGTCAAGTATCCAACAACTATAAATAACCTTCAGGCTACTAGTACAACAATTGAATCATTGAATTACACAATTTAAGTTGGTAGATAGTTATGTAAAAAGAAACCAAAATAAATAAACAAAATATATATACCCTGACTAGGTAAATAAATTAAAGTATTAAATATTAATAAAAACAAAAAATATAATAATATACTTAGGATAAAATGTTCTGATGGTGATCCTGCCCGTCTCACAAAATTCTGTCATATTTTTCTTTAGGTTGACATAAACTTGCCTCGACATGATCAAGACAAAATTAGGTCGATTGGGATGAAAATAAGCATGAATACTTTTAATTATAAAAAGACACAATACAATAAATCTAGCCCTAAATTCAATGCTTCAAACTCTCACGCTAGCCCAAAAGTCTAATTATTATTTTTTATAAAATATCAAATTATTTTTTATTTAGTTTCCTAAATAATAATAAGTATTATCCTGCTCTTTCTACCAAACTAAATTCAAATTTATTTCATTGATTCTCTTACATCTCCTCTCCACCATAAAAGAAATACAAAAACAAATAAATTTTAAAAATATATTTTTTTTTGGTAGAAAAAATTAGTTTACTTGAGCTGGCCCTAATAATTGTAAATTATTTAAAGAAAAAAATATGATTTTTGATCTCTATACTTTACTCGAATTTTATTATAGGTCCCTGCATTTTTTTTATGTTCTAAGTTTTTATATTTTTAGTTTTCAATATTTTAAGTCTTTTCATAAGTGATGTAATAGAGATTTAAAACATTAAAAAATAAAAGTATAAAGATCTAAAAAAAAAGCAGAGATTGATAGTAAAACTAAAGTAAGGTGCAGGGACTCAAATATATATATATATATATATATTATTTAAAATAACTTTTTTTTATCAAATTCGGCCCTAAAATTTATTTATTTTTTTTAGAGAAGACCCATCTGGTTAAGCCTGAATTCCTCATTCTAATGGAATCGAAACATAGAAACTCGAGTTCACATCTTGATCGAAAGATATGAATCCAAGGTCACAAGCAACAATCTAAAAAATTCATATATTTTTTTTGGCCAAATAAAAAAATTCATATATCAAATTCCAAACATGAAAACCCAAAAATAAAATAAAAGGCAAAGGATCAGAAGATATTTTGGTATTTGATCTGCAACTCTAAACTGCAGTGGCCCGTTTCCTGTGAAAAACAAATAGCCGCAAAAACGCGTGATCGTGATGATGAATTGATGATGCAATTTACAAGGTTTTAATTATCATGATGTCTTTCAGGTCAAAATTAAATAAATAAATTATCATGATGTCCTTGCATTCATTGCAGCGACGTCGTTTTCAGCAACTAATTCCCCATCTGGAAAACTTTCATTCCCGCCTCTCTACCTCCGCTTTTTCCCTTTCTCTTTTATCGCTTTAATTATAGTCACCGCCTCATACTGCATAATTTCTATTCTAATTCTATATTTATCTGATGTGGATCTTATATATTTATGAAAAATATATTTATAATTTTTTTATATAACTATTGACCAGGTAACATTGTTACGTCTAATTGGAGTAATTTTCAAAGACATTTTCTGTATTTATACAGACTTAACATTATACTTAATTCCTTTTACTAGCATCAACGCATGATAGTATATTTATACTTTTTAAATAGTTTAACTTCTCATAAAATTTGAGGCAATCATTTATTTTTATAAAAATTAATCATAATAATTGGTTCAAGTAATTCAGTGCTTATTCTTCTTAAACAATGTCTTATTTTTAAAGTTTTGTAAATGGGAAAAAAATCGCAGGGGAACTACGCCTATTTGAATTAATGGAGGCACAAATTTAGAACATGACCTTAAAAGCTAGTTGTTATATGAAAAAGAAGATCTAAATCTTGCATTATTGATTAAGATTCCATGTTAAATAGTTGATACATTTTAATATAAAAAAAAAACTGGATCAGTTGCATAATGTAAACGTACAAGGAAAGTGAGCAATCATTATAATAAGTTAATTATTGATAAGCAAGTGGTAAATGAGAAAATATTTTTTATATGAAATAGATCACAATCACACTGTTAGCATTTATTGGAGGAGAGTGGAAATTAAAAAAAAAAAAAAGGTGGAGGAAGAAAAAGACGGTGAGGACCCCGCTAACATGGAGAAGGTTGAAATAAAGCAAAAGCACAAACTGAAACAACAGACACGGCGCCTTTAGCGCTCACATTCTCTCGTGCAACAGTTTCATCCCTTCTCTCGTCTTTCTTTGCATTTTCTCATATTCTCACGTCAAATCATGTCCCTTCCCCTTTTCCACGCCTCTGACTTCGCAATTCTTTTCTCATCACACCTCTGTCGGAGTTACTAGTAATCAAATTATGAAACAAGATTAAGGATCGTTTTTATTTTTAAATTGTGGAGGAAATATCACAAATATTTTAAAATTTAATTATGAACTAATTTTATCCTTTAATTTTAAATTATTTTTTTATTATCATCCTAACATTAAAAACACTTGACATACGTTAGCTATTAATAAGTTTTAATATCTTTAAATTTTTTAATTAAGTTAAGTATCATTTTTACCCCTTAACTTAAATATTTTATAATAAAAAATATTTTTAAAAATATAATTGGGGCCCACCAATGGTTAGGAAATAGTATAATGATGATAAATAAAATCTTTAAAATAGAATGATAAAATTGATTTATAGTTAAGTTTAAAAACACCTTTGTATATAATTCAAAAACAAAAATGATCCTTAATTTTATAAATTGTAGTTAGACTAAAATAATTCTTTAAATATATTGATTTAATAATTTATCAATTTAATCCATGCTATTGCCTCAGTTTTAAAGGAGTTGACTTCCTTCTACACTGCTGCTGAAAGAGGGGCAAATTTGAGCCATCTAGATTTAATATATCTAATATTTTAAATTTTTATTTCCTTAAAATAAAAATATATAAAAATTATATAAAATTTAATAAATATGCTTATTAATTTAACAATTTAGATTTAATATAAATGATCCAAATTTACTATTAATTTTTTAATAAATTTATTGCTCTGTCCAGAATATATCTGCATTGTCCGGGATATATATGAAAAGTCAATCTAAATTTTTAATATTCAATTTGAATTATTCATATTAAATCTGGACTATCAAATTGATAAACATATTTATTAAATTTTTTTATCATTCTTATATATTTTTTATTTTAAACAGAAAAATTTAAACTATTAAATCTAGACTATCCAAATTAAATTTAGACAGCCCATATTTGCCCCTTTCTTAGCAAAGGGGGCAGAGGAGGCTTCCCTCAACAGACGGAAGCCGACTCCAATTTTAAACACTATATCATGATTATTTCATTTCTACTCTCTCCCTTTCAATGGCTTATTATTAGGAAAAAATTTTAGATAGATTGAGTGTATCACGTTATTTATAGTCTATTTAATAAAAATATAACATTTAAATGGTGTTAAATATAAATGAATTTTGATATTAATGTTAATAGAGAGAGAGAAAATATAAATCAAATTTACATTCTGTTATAAGAATAAAATTAATTAAAAAATGCCACACAATATTCTATGTAGATTATTTAATGCATTTTAATTAGATAAATTATAAATGACGTAGTACATTCAATCTACCTAAGTATTTCTCTATTTACTTTTTATAAAATATATGATATTGCATAGTTTGTTTTTATTTAAATTTCATTATAGTTTATACTTAACATTCTATAAATAAATTGACTTTAAATTACAAAGAAGGGTAAAATTGTACAGCTATATAGTTTTTAAGTAATTTTAAAGATATAAGTATATTATGTAATAAATACAAAGTTAATTAATTTTATTTTATATTAAGGACCAGGAGAGTATACATTAAATCATGTTATTATATATTAAAATAACATGAAAATCAAAATAAAAATCTACATGAAACTTATTTCTATTTTTGTTGCTCCTCCACTATTATTATGTACGATTAATTTAATTTATTTATTATTATGATTATGATTGCAAATAAACGTATTCCTGTATCTCCTCCCTTCTATAAATGCCCATTCGATTCCTTCATTTTCCTTCGCGCTTCTCCCACACGCTTTTTCACTCTGCGACCCATAAGTCAGTTTCTCTTCTCATTCTCTCTTGTTTTTCTTTTCCCCTCAAAACCAATTCCCTCTCTTCCTTCACAGTCACACCACTTTCCCCACAACAATGGCGGCCCCTACCTCCAGATCCGTCCTCATTCTCCTGTCGTTGCTTCTTTTGATCACATTCTCCGAAGTGGCTGAGGTACGTACTTCACTCAATTTGGACAAAATTCACTTCTCGCTGCTTCCATTACTCACATTCGCACTAAATTTCTGTTTCACTTCGATCTGTGAACAGGCTTATGGACGCTCGAATCTTCGTCCTTCAGGTATTGTACGGCATTATTCACGAATTCAGAGGATTACGAAACCAAAATTGTGATGAATTTAGGGTTTCGCATTGTCAATTTCTCATATCGATCATTAACCGAGCTTGCGTGCATTGCAGATTGCAAGCCGAAGTGTACTTACCGGTGCTCTGCAACTTCGCACAAGAAGCCATGCATGTTCTTCTGCCAGAAGTGCTGCGCTAAATGCCTGTGTGTGCCTCCAGGTACGTACGGCAACAAGCAATCCTGCCCTTGCTACAACAACTGGAAGACCAAGGAAGGAGGACCCAAATGCCCTTGAAGAGATCGGATCTCTTTCCTTACATTATATGATCTACGACCTATAATAAGCAATGTTAAGCTTTTTCAAGTATTATATTAAGATGATGATTATGATCTGCAGCGATTTAAATAGCTGAATTTGGCTGTAGTTGAAGGGCACATTCAGCAATATGGTGTTCCCTTCACGAGCTGATACTGTTCTTAATTGTAATTTAGGATCTGTCCAATTTGCAGTGTTGCTGCTATATTCTTGATTCTGCAGTTGCCATCAGTTTTGGAAGCCAGATTATATTGTTTGATTATTCGCAGAATCTTTCCTTCTCTACGATTTTTTAAGGGGCATGTCTATATGGAAGCATTAGGGTCTTTTTATTAACTTGATATTACGTAGTTAACTCCATGCCCAAGAACAAAGTCTATTTTTAAACAAATAAAAAATAAATTCCTGTTTGAATACAAGTAGGCAACTACTAAGAAACATGCAAGTGTGTGATAGCTTTTTATCAAAACAATTCAGGCTCATCTACCCAAAACCAAAAAAAAGTCAGGCTCAAGTAAGCTTATCTAAACACCTGTTTATATAAAAAAGCCGGATCTTTTTAGCATTAGGCCTTACATGATGCCTATTACTATATATAATATATTTAAATTAATTTTATTTAATTAATCCTTCCATTTAACATTATAAGATATTTTTAATCAAATTACAATCCCAATGAATTAGGTAGTTGTGTTTAAAATTATACATTTTTTCTATTTTATCTTTATTCAATAAGATGTCTCAACTAAAAAATCTTATTAATTATACTCCTTGATGAAGGGTATTTTTTAAAAAAAATCTCATCAATTGCACTTATAAAGACACAAAATATCTTATATTTTTTAACATTAGGAGAAAATATTTTATAATTTTAAATGGAAAGAGTAGCATATTGGTTTGTTTCAAAAAGAATATGCTCATTTGTTGGATCACATTTATTGATCATTTCAAGGCTCATTTTTTGGTGAATAAAAAAAAAGTTAATGAGCATTTTGTACTTTAAAATATCACGCAAAAAGTATTCTCAATTCCAAACTTTTAAAATATGTAAAATGAACCATAAATTTTTAAATACAAAGCAAATTACCACCTCTATTAACTTATAACCACCATTAACTATTGACTTTGTAGGGTCTAATCAATGTTGATGTGACAATTCATTATTGATGTGTCATTCAATGACAAAGTTAAGACCTAGTGTCAAGGTGCAAGATAATTTAATTTAAAAATTAATAATTTTTAAACAAATAATAATTACATTAAGAATAAAATTATAATAACATAAGTAGATTGATTATCATTTTTTTAAAAAAAATTATATTGAACATGTTAATATGGTCTCTTACGTAAGTATATCTTCTTTGCATTTTATTTTGATCATTAAAATATTACACATCTAATAAACTTTTGAGCATAAATATTTTTTATTTAGTTCAAAAGGTTCAAAATTTCAAGTGTAGGGGATGTAAAGTTGTAAAATTTACACACCCTACTTGTAATTTTTTTCAAAGTGAGGGGTTGCATTTGCCCACCCTCATCACCAAGTGGCTCTGTCGTGTTATCAATTAGTGAGCATCATAGATCCTAAACTATTGTATGAATAGCATTCTAGACTTTCAAACTTTAAAAATGTGTAAAAACTCCCTTGAATTTTGAAATACAGAGCAAATTACCTTCCACCATTTTCAATGATGTTTCATCCTCTTCACATATTAATAGTGCCCTCACATCTCTGCCTTCACTCAGTCCATCAGTCGACATATTCGAGAGAATTTAGTCTTTGCAGCCTCAGTTGTTGCTTGAATTTGTTGATGAAATCGTCAGCTTTCACATCCCCCATCTGTAAAATCTCTAATTTCAAACCTAAATTTTTGATTAATTAAAATCACCTGATACTTAAACTTCTTTTTAAATGAGATCCTAAGTTTTTACCATTAAATAAATAAATATTATTTAAAATAAAATTAAATTAGAGTTATCGAGTATATAGAAGCATGAGATACCAATCGTTTATAAAAACATTACAAAAAAAGGAGGCAAAAAATTATTTCACAAAATTTTGAGTCATTCGCCATGGCTAATAATGTATTTACAATAGCAAACCACATTGAGGCAAATTTGGTCTACATAACCGTCAATGTTCTACACATAAATGATGAGGATAATTTGCTTTAAATTTCAAAGTTCAGGGGAGTATTTTTACATTTTAAGAGTTTAAGATCTAAGATTTTACTCGCATAATAGTTTAGAATTTGTGATGCTCATTAACTTATGACACATCAATAAGGGACTATTGTATCAGCATTGACTAGACCCTAAAAAGCCAACAATTAATTGTGGTTATCTATAAATTAATGGTGGGGATATTTTGGATTTAAAAATTTATGGTCCATTTTACATATTTTAAAAATTAAGGGTTCACAATGTTTTTGTGTAATACTTTAGGGCGTAAAATGCTCATTAACCCTAAAAAAATAATGAGATCATTTTATCATAAAATTTTAATATTTCTATTTAGACTTTAGAAGTTTTCAAGTTAAATTTTTATTTTTAAAAAATAATAAAATATTATGCATTACCTTTTAAAAATTTATAAATGTTTAATATTTGTCTATTCCAAATATTTTATTTCTTATTTATGTTTGCATTACACTGATTAAAAATAAAAATATTCAATTTATTCTAAAAACTATGTCTTCTAAGAACCATATCTTAAAAATATATAAATAAAAAATATGACTTTTATTATTTTCAAAATTAAAATTGTAAATAAATTTTATGCGATTTGTTAAAATCTTCTTATTAGAGTTTTAAAAAGTTGAGGGTTATTTACAATAATAAATTTTGTGAAAACTTATTATAATTTTTCTATTTTAAAAAATTTCATTATAAATTATACACAACTTAATAGTAATTCTGAAATTTAAAATAATTATAATTCACAAAATTTATTCTAACCTGAATGATAGCATCATTTTAAGAAAATTAACCGGCGGAGGCACTCGAAAAAATAAAAGTTAAAAATAAAAATAAAAAACCTTCCCCCATGAGCCGTGATTGAAGATTAATCCCAGTCCATGGTCCCCACTCCTCGTCCGTTTGCCATCAGCCCCCTCATCTATGCCACCAACCCTTTGTCTTTTTCCTCAACCACCCCGAACAGTGAAAAGTATCCTGTTGCCGAATTTTTATTTAATTACCTTTTTGACCAAAGAATTTTTATTTTATTACCTGGAAATTGAAATTCTACTTTACATTAATTGTATACCCCTATTCATTAATTATTTATAATTCTTCAATTGTAGTGTTTTATAATCACCCACGCTAACCATTTATTACTGGATAAATTTTATTAATTTATAACTAGAAAATTTTTATAGGATGTTAATATGACTACTTTGGTTGGAAATAGTGTTATTATAATCTCAGACAATGATTCTCCTTATTGGCTACAAAATGGTACAGGCATTTGGTTTTGTGTTAAATGTTAAGCTTATAAATATTGAAATACTCTCGTGGGTCCTATTTGTAATCCTCTCCTATATTCACTAAATATAAAAAAGGATTAATATATTCACCACACACATACCAAACTATAATCAATTATTTTATTTAAAAAGCTTGAATACAAGACTTATTTTGTAAAATCATTAAAATATTAACATATCACAGCCATATGCAATGGAAACAAAGCATACGCATTCATATCAATCATTGCATGCTTTTAAATAGAGGGTTAAGGTTAGATTAAGGGCTGTGCGCTGTGGCATACAACACATGCGCTATGACATATGGCATAGAGCTACATACCTTGACTTTTTTTGTATCATGCACCGCGACGTGATGTGCGATACACGACCCATTTCTGCTACTGTTATTTAACAACACAAATGACAAATTTTTGACGTGTGCCATTTCCACATACATTTTCTAATTGGAGTGATTCAAAAGCCCACACAAAACTTATCACATAAGCTAACTAATGAAATAAGGTTGGATACGATCCAACAATCTGCTCAAAATTTGAATACTTGGGTGTAAAATGCTATTTTTTTAAAAAAAATTTTACACACCCAAGCATTCAAATTGATTCTATTATCTCATTAAACTATTATAAGCCTTGAATCAAGTCTAACAGGACCTAATGCATTTGATTGGCCAAGTTATATAGCAGATACACACATATATCACAAGTTGACCATCCAACCGTTCATTTTCACATTTCACAACATCACACAAAAATACTCCTTTAACCATTTTCACCATATTATCACCATAAACTCACTTCATTTTCTCCACTAACACATTTATAACTTATTTAAAACTAAATTTTAGCCCCAATTAATCATTTCACCACACATTTTTGCATATAGGCTAAGATTGACAAAAATCAATACAAATTTCTTATAAATCACAACTTAGACATGCATGTAATCCTTATAACAACTTATATACATAACATATACAAAAGTAATGTTCATTACACAAAACTCAAAGATTACACAGCCATGGCACTACTATGTTGGTCTCGACTCTTTCTCTTTGCCTTGATTACTACTCTGTCTTGTAAAAGTGTAACCATGAGGTAAGACAATAATCTTAGTAACAAAATAACTCTTTATTATTGACTATCATATGCAACCATAAGTATAACATAATATACAATTAAATATAGCATATAATATGCGTTTCACTTCAAATCCTATCAATATATAACATTTCACCACTTTTAAACTATATTCACCATAATTATCACTTTTCTAACATATAGCATGATCACTATCAACTTAAAACTATAGGCTCGCCTTATATTAATGTATACTCTTATTGATTCTGAGCTCACCTTCAGTGGTAGAATCACCTGGCCAAAGATATTCTATTTCACTTCTGAACTATAGTTTTTCCCAATACACACGAGGTGCCATTGACTCCAACATTGCATCACATCGATACTAAGGAGTTTGAATCTCCAGTACTGCACCTCAATGGGCACTAAGGAGATACAATTCTCTAATACTGCACCTCGTTGGGCATTAAGGAGAATGATGCCATATGGTCTTTCACTACACTCCACATAAGTGAACTCCCACCCTTATAATCATGCTTTTCAAACTAATCATAGGTTTCCAATCACCACCATACACATATATACATATATATAACACTATCTCACGATTCTACTTATTTGTTTAGGTCAAAGTTTATTTTCATGTAATAACCATGTAATAACACAAAATATGCTCAGTTTTAAAACAGTTTCATATATTAGATAGCATACTTACACACAATTACAATAAATGTTTAAACAGAAAAAATTAGTTGGTTACCTCAAACTTTCTGTCACTAGAAAGATTACCTGTAGACTTTCAATTATCACTATAGCTTTCAATAGGCTTCTTCTCGTAACTTACTCGCTAATTATGCCAATCTACACATAATTGACACTATTAGTCAATTAATTCAACTAACCATAAATATTTAATTGTTAGTTAAAGTTATAACTAGCCATCCATTTCTCTCCACTCAGACAATCTAAGCTCATTACCACTCAATTATTACTTTACACCACTTCAAACAATCCCATTTCACTTAAACATGATTTTCACCTCAATTTTTTCTTAGTTTAGGGCTAAATCAAGCTTATAGGTTTAAAGCTTTATCGTTTAACTTCAAATCAGTTATAAAGCTCTAATTTAACTCTCAATAACTTTTTTATTACTATAGGGTAAAAAACTAACCCCTTAAATTCTCTCGATTTAATTTCTCTATAACTCACACAAAAAAAATTATAGTAGAATTGGAGATAAGGGTCGTATGAAGCTTACCCGATAAGTTACTAGTTGGAAGTGCCTTCCAATGCTCTGGGAATGCTTGCCTTAATAGCCAAAGCCTTCCTCTCCTCTCTCTCTTTCGTGGTTCTCTTCCCTTCCCTTCTAAACTCTCATGTCAATTCATGACTTATTAAATTATTTTATGTGTAATGCGCCACAGTATGGGTAGCATCAGCCATGACGCATGGCACAAAAAACAATTCTCACTATGTATACATGCCTTATTCCAAGACGCAGTTCTTCCTCTCGTATCTGTTCATTTAACATTCAAATGAGTTAAATTATCAAACAATAATCAAAACCTCTAATCATTAACTAATTACTAATTTTCCCCTATTTAATAGCTAATTGTAAGATTAGAAAATTAGGAAGTTACACTATTTGTGTGATAACTTCTAAAAATAATTTTTGTCTAAAATGTAGAATATCTTATAATATTTAAATTATTTTTTTAATTTTACCCTTTCTTGATTAATATGAAGATATTTAATATAGTTATATAATTATTTAAAGTAAGGGCTAAAAATGAAAGTATATCTCATTTAACTTTTTTTTAAGATGCATAAAATGATTGAAAGTATCTTATAATAAAAACTATAGGTAATATATGGCTAATTTAAAATACTCCCTCATACTCTAAAACATAGGACGCGTTTAATTTAACTACTTTCACAAGGATTAAGAAAAACTAGATAGTTTCTCTTGCATTGCACGGGTTGAGATTAAGGAATTTAAAACAAATATTATCGATATAATTGATATCAATACATCTAAGATGGCTAAATTTTTGAAAGTTTCTCTATTCAATTATTTTTCTTCTTGAATATTTTATTCGTACACATCTTATCTTTGGCTAAATTTAAAATTTATTGCTAATATTTTAAATTATTAAAATTTTTTAATCTTTATAGATATTATAAATATAAATATTAAAAGGTCAGAAGGAAGAAAAGAATTTGTGCCTAAATGCATAATAAAACACACTCTTATCTTCCTCCCCAAGAAGTAAATAGATATGTTTTTTCTTATATATATGTATGTATGGTCAAAGAATGAAATATGTATTGTCTACCGAATTGTTTCCACCTCGCTTCTTTGATGTGAAAAGATAAAGAGTTGTCACGTTATCTTATCAACGTTGAATGTATGATGAAACATACACAATTTGAAGGGCCAAAATCATGAGATAAAGATTGATGATCCAAATCAAATTTAAACTTCTTTTTATTTCTTTTTTCCCTTTTTACAGATAATATTTATGGATAATAGTTGATGAGAGCTAATTGATATTGAGTACAATGAATTAGGAACATATATGAAAAAAAAATAAATTAAATCTCATTAATCAGGAAAATTAAAAAGGTATGAAAAAGTACAATGAATGAAGAAAGATAGTTGAATAGAGTTAATTCTAATGATAAGGAAAATTTAAAAATGAGACTGCTCTTAAATTAATGCTTCCGTAAAAGTAGACTGAAAATACATGAAAAATAAGAAAATGAATTAAATCTCATTAATGAATCAAGAGAAATTTTCATGTTAACATTAGCTTAAAATTTATTAACCAATGAGAGTCAAATTTTTTAACCAATCAGATTGAAGCTGTGAGATTCGAATTCTTTACGAAGTATTGGATGAACTCTACAACTCTCCCTAAAAGAGGCATGAAACTCCTCCACCTCGGCCACCGAGCTCTCCATCGTCGGCAACAAACTTATTTAGGGGAATGGCTGATCAATCATTGATTAGGACATATGAGACTGAGAAAATATTCCTGTATTGGGAACATAAACTCTCTAACGGGACTTGAGAGTATGAAAAACAATATAGTTAATGCTCCCAGATAGATGATTCAAGGAAAATTTAAAATAGAATTTAATGCTTCCATCCCGTGAAAAGATAAAAATCAATTAAAATAAATAGAAATAAAAAAAAAATTCTGTCAACTAATTAGAAAAAATATTTGATCACATCAGTTAATGAAATGATAACATTAATATTAGACTAAAATTAAATTGATTATGCAAAAATTAATGGACCAATGGGATAAGATAATTAACATTATACCAATATATGTTGACTAATAAAAGAGAAGAGATTTATGTCCAATTACCTTCATTCTACAAGATTTGTAGATATATATTGATGATGATATATAAAAGTAAGTTGGGTTGCATCATTAAAATGGTTAAAAAAAAACAGGACTATTTTTTAAGATTGCCTTATAACTGAAATCAATTTATTTTAATTGCTTTTAATTTTTTATTATACAATCTCTCTCTATAATATACTCCATTTTTAAATATAACAGAAACTATCCTATATTATTTTATTTTTAAAATTTTTTTTGGGCAAAAAATTTGTTATTTTTTATTATAAGCAAAATTGCAATTTTCAAGAAACATTAATTATATTTTTTTAAATTGTCTCTCATAAATGAATTAAATAGCATTATTAAATTAGAAAAAAATAAAAATAATAATAAGGGTAATTTAATTCAAAAATTTTAATTTCAAATATAATTATTAGTAGTAACTAATTTTTTTAAATTGTGAAGGTTGAAATTATCTTCTATTAAAAAACAGATGCAGTAAATAATAAGGATATTGGTAAGAAAGAACTTAATAAGGATATTGGTAAGAAAGAACTTAATACTATCGACATTTGTAAAGCATCTTGTATTTTAGACCAACATTAATTGATATAAAATATTTAACATTTTGGACTGGTGGGAGCATTTAGCATGTCTTAAAATATATATTTTATTATTTTACTTAGTTATTAATTTATATATCTGTATGCAATATTGTCCGAAACGCGTGAGAATTAATTCAGGAATCGATCACACGTGTAATTTAGCAAAAAAGCCAGGCAGGCAATCATATCTGAAGGAATAGTGACGTGGAGGTCCATTCGAAACCGGTCTCGTCGTTTCTCTCCGCTCGGAGGCCCACCGGCCGTTCCTCCTCACACAGTACTCATTCACACTCGAAACCCTCACATCACGGTACTGTCTTCCTCCTTCTCCTCCTCCAAGACTCCAACTCAGTGTCAAGGTCCTCTCTCTTTGTTCATTGTTGGCCGTTCAGCTAGCCATCCTCACTCGCTTGCCTCTCACACCTTTCCTGGTCTTTCCCTTTCCAGGAAATTGGATTTCATTCAACTGCCTTTTAAGGTTTGATAAATTATTTCTTGAGCTTTCGTTGTTGAATAGGTGTGATAAGTTAGTATTACGTAAGTTTCAATGCTGACTTACAGTCCCTGTTCTTTAATTAGAATTTTTGTGATTAATCTAATATATTCTTGGTGTGATAGTGATACTAAATTTTGGGAATGTTACGCGTAGAGTAAGTTTATATGTTAAGTTGTCAGACCGTAGTGTGTTATTTTTTAAGGCTTGAGCATATATATGCTAGTCTTGTGAGTTCTATGTAAATTAATCTAAGAAATGGTAAACGACCTCAAGAATGTTGTCTTCTGTCCAATCCAACTGTGTGTTATACTAAATGAATAGTGTATTTAGAGCTGTAAAGCTCGCTGTTGAAGGAAATATAGCTTTCTTTCTTGTTTTTCTCGGGTATTCCTCAAATTGCTTTCTCATTATACAGTCTGAATTTGTGTCCCGTTTCCTCAAAATGGCCTCTTGATGAATCGAATTAACTAAAATAGTACTCAGAGGTAGTGAAATCGACCATTACTGCCGTGTATATTGTATGCTATTCTTCTCATTTTAGCTGTTTAGCCTGTACAGGATTTAGGACTTGAGATAGTTAAAGTGCATTGAAGGCTAAGCCTATCTCGTTCTTATCTTGATTTCAGATGGCACTTGCTGCAAACAGGATTCCAAGGGATTCTGTTCTGACTCATCAGACATCTCTCTGTAGATATCACGAGAAGCAGAATTTTTCCTTGTCAACGATAAACAGAATACAACTTTCAAGAAGTGGAATGAGACACGGTCTTCTAGCAAAAAGATCAGCCCTATTGAGTGTGGGGCTTCAGTGCTTATATGGAAAACCATTTAGATTTATCTCGAAGAAAGTTTTTTTCTTGTGCAAATCTTCGAGAGCAAATAATACTGAAGAGAAAGAATGTGATACAACTTACGATGATGTTGCAGGCATTATTGGGTAAGAAGAATAGATGCAATTCATCTGCCAAATCAATTTTGTATCCTAGGCATTTTTCATCTTAATGGCCTTCTGTCTTAACGTTTGTTGCTTGTCAAACCAGCCCAGATCTCATCTTTCGTATGACGGTGTTTAATAGATTGAATTCTCATGTAACTATAGGATTCAAACTGACATATCAAAGGTCCTGTCCATGCATGCAGTTCACACACTAAAGCTAACAAAAGCGACCTCATTCATTCGGGTCAGGGCTTGGCTGGAGCTTGTACGTATGCTCATGAAGATGCAAAGTTTTTGAATGAAACAGCTCGTAGTGACATTTCCTTGCTCTCATGGTATTTTCCCAGTAACTTTGTGGGTCTGTGGTTTTACTTGGAATTTGCTTCCCCCATCCTACATTTTTTTGACCTGGATCCACTATCCTACTTGACTTCAATTGATTTTGTTGCCACCTATACGATAAAAGTCCAGTTCTAATTGAAATACCTTAAAGTGTGAACTGGAAATGAAGCCTTTAATTAAAGTATCCTTTTGTAACTACAATAAGAGGAATTACTCCCTCCGTTCAATATTATAAGACATTTTAAACCAAATTACACCCCTAATAAGTTAGTTAATTGTTTTTAAAATTACACACTCTTTCCATATCTACCCTTATTTAATAAGGTATCTCATTTAGAAAATCTTATTAATTATACCTCTTAAATAAGGGTTTTGGAAAAATTTTGTTAATTGTAACTTGAAAGATCCAAAATGTCTTATATTTTTTGACATTTTATCTAAGAAAAATGCTTTATTTTTTTGAATGGAGGGAGTACTTGGTAAACCATGTTGTGGCTTAGGAATTACACAACGGAATGTGTCTTGGCTGATCTATATATTGGTTCTTTCCTTGTTGTCTACCCATTTCATATTATTTTGATATGTTCTTATTTAAAATTTTAAAGTCATTAAATGCATCTTATTTTTAAAATGACAGTAAGAGATTCCATATTTAGATACCTGGATATAACTGAAATCGTTTGTTTCCTCAGTGGCATGACGACTTTGGAGGCCCATGCACGCCAATATGTTGCTTTTCTAGGGACAGAATTTCTCAAACTTGACGGTTGTAGTTCATTTACCTTGTTCTAATATTTGCTATTCTATTTAAGCTTCCAATCATGCATTTCATCTCACAGGAATAGCCCTTTTGTCTGGTGTAGTTATAGTTGAAATAGACATCCAAGATTTGATTTCTTCATGTGGGTTCATACACGCACGCACGGGCATATAATGAAATGTGTGTCTAAATAGAAATATTTTGTAGAGAGATATCCCAAAAGATTGCCTCCAAACAATTGCCAAACTCACCACAATGATACCAAAATGATAAAAACCTCTAAGAGAGCCATGTTTCAAAGGCTAGATTATAATATTGGGCAGCCTAAGTTCTTTGCAAGTCCCTTATCAGAATCCCAAACTTCTAATGTGGGACTCAAGTTCCCATACCTTGCCATGGATCCTTGCATGTCATTGACAGAGTCCCAATGAGATGATTTTGTTGTATGCTTATTTATTTTTGGGTCATTGGGGGAATATCATAATTAAAATAAAACTAGATAATTCCACTACTGGAAAGCATTTTTTGTAATGCCGACATGTTACCTTTTTCATTTTCTGGAGGGCAGGTAGTTAACACTTGGGAGCACAATGATGGATTGCCTTAGTTGTGTTGGCACTCAATTAAACTAAGATTGGCTTAATATGGTATAGGCCAACCCCAGGTCATTCTTTCTAAGGAGTAATTTAGGGGTTATCTTAAGTTTTCTAGTTATTTAAATATTAATGTAAAAAGATCTAAAACTAAATGCTAGATTTCTACACTAAAATGCAAATGAGAAATGCAATTTATGTAGCAAAACTACTTAAATGGATGTGGATGCTTATGTCACCTAAATGCTATTATGCAATGCATGAGTCCTAAATTATGATTGGGAGTTTTTGATTCAAGAAAAATGAAATGTAAATTAAAAAAATTAACTAAATGACAAAAAGAATTAATTAACCAAAACTTAAGAAAAAATTAATTCAATTTCGATAAAAGGGACAACTTAGGACTTCACATGAAGTTAACTTTCCTAACCTAATTCAATTAGTTAAATTAAAGGCAAATGATAGAATAGTGGAATTAATAAATTTAATTATCTAATTAAAGCAAAGGGAACTATAAGCACAAAGTCTAACACTTAACTCACTAAAGAATGCATAACGAACCAAATGTCATAACTATGAATTAGGCAAATTAAATCTATTAAAATCAATGATGACTAGTTCAAAAATAAATCTAGTAAATATGTTTAAATTATCTAACTGAATAATTGAACGAATTACTAACTCAATTGAACAATCAAGAGGTAAAAGGAACAACCCAAATTTGTAACAAACATCACAATGATAATTAAATCAACAATGAGAAATCAATCATTAATTTAATTGGCAAAGTAAGGGTACATAAAAATAAATTTCAGAAATTCATTAAACACAAAATCAATCCAATCTAAGATTCAAAATATTTACAACTTAAAAACTAGATTGTACTCAAGCATTACAACTTAAAATCATTTAAAACTAAATAATCTTAAGCTCTTGAATTAAAAAGATCAATGAAAAATCACTCCCCAATGGTCTTCAAATGCAAATCTTAGGTTCTAACTTTCTCCATGCTCATCTTAAGTTGTCTCTCAAGCTAGCTTAAGCTCCCATGATTTTTCTTCTTCCTCCTTTCACCATATAATCTATGGCCATGAGAGGATGACTAATGGAGATGAAGTATCATAAATGGATAATGATTTGGGAGTGGGGTTTGGAAGGATGAGGTGGCATGGATGAAAATAATGGAAGGATGAAGGTGGCTGTGAATGAATGGAGAAAAGAAGATTGAACATTGACAATGAGGTGGTCTGTGAATGCAAAAGAAAGGAAGAGAAGATGTGAGAGGGTTAAATAGAAAAAGGGGATTGTAGGATTAAGTTGGAGAAAGGAGCAAGGACTGCAGGTTGGCGGAAGAAATGATGGAGGATGCTAGAGATGATGATGCTGGACGCAGAAAGAAAATAAAAACCAAGAGAGAGAGAGCTCCTGATAAAAGGTGGTGGCCGAGAGTAAAAGAGAAAGAGAGGGATGTTGGGGGAAATGATCCAATGGCTAAAAGAGTAGGTAGAGAGTTTTGAAAAAATCTTAGCCATTGAATTCAAAAAGAGCTAATAAAAAAAAAGAAAAGTGTAAAAGTTCTCTAATTTTTCTTTTTTAGAAATGCCCATTAATGAATCTTGACAATTCTTTCCTCGTTTCATTTATTCATAGTCCTTGGATGCTATTTTAATTGTCATGATTCAATCTTCACCGTTGAGTTCCATTAATTTTATCTCTATGTCCTAAAAGATCAAATGCACCCATTAGCGTATGCTATGTTCAAAATAAATTTCATGTCTCAATAAATATTTCAAAATTAATTTTTTTCAGAAATCATAATTTTTCACAAAATGGCCAAAAACTCAAATAATGTATAATGATTCAAATTAAAGATTGACAAAATTAAACCATATTTAAAAATAGGAAAAAAATGTTAACAATTTAAGTCTAAAATTCATATAATTAATCCAAAAATATATTATTTCTCAAAATTGGTTAATAATTCAAATAATATTTAATAAACCCAAATTAACCCAAAACCATCATCAAAATGCATGGAAAAGGTAGGATAGAATATATAAAATCTATTATTCATCATACAGCCTCTTCCCCCACTTCACTCCACCACTATGGGGAATCCTTTTAGGTCTAATTATAGTAGTGAATTATTTTCTTTGCAGGTAATGTAATGCCCTTCTGTTTCCCCTGATGTGTTTATTGTCTACTTAAGAAGCTCTTTTTTATTTTTTCTTTTCTTTTTTTTTGGGTGTGGCTGTGTAGCTCGGGCTAGAGAGGATACTGAGATAATTGACCATAAAGTCAAGGAAAAGGCTAAGCTCCTTCATCACCTTGCTACTGTCTGTATCACTTAGAATCTTCAACATTTTCAGTTGGAGAGAAAAAGGCATGCCATAGTGGTAGGGTTCATGCTGTTTTCCTTTTTTCCTTTTTACACATTCTCTGCAGATCTTGAAGGACAAAGCTCAGGCCAGGTTGAAAAGTGCTGCTGATGAGCATTGGAGTGATGGAGCCTTAAAGGTACACCTGTTATTCTCAGACATACCTGCGTATTTGTATGCCTGTTTTTGTCACAAAATGGACTTTCCCCCCATCATTTGAGAAAGGAGACGTTGAAATTATTTGTTTAACGCAATATTTATATTTTATATTGTTGCCAATCTCCCCATCAGTATATGTGTATTCTCAGTTATCAGATATCTTGTAGTCTCTTGAAATAAGAAAGATCAAACAAAAGTGTTCTATAAATTGACCTACATTCTTGCTCTCCTGTTTCGGTAGTGTAATGTTTCTTCTAATTGTAGCATCCCTCTCGTCATTTCACATAGCACATATCACAGTGGATTTGAATGTGGCATTTTTGCTTTCATCAGCCTTAATTAGCAAATAATATTTTTTGCTATCACAGTTTCTTATAGTAAGTAATCCTGCCCCATAATTTCATATAGATCTAAATTTGGGTAATAGGCTTGGAGTCTGTGACCTTTCTGCCTAAAGAATGTAAGGCATACCTTGTTATTTGTTTTGCAAGGCAACAACCAGAGAGTATATGACTCCTCTGACACAAACCTCTAACTTTCAGGCTGATTTGCATCTTGCTGACTTCCGAGCTAAACAACGTGCAATAGAAGATGCCCTGATGGCCTTGGAGGTGAGCTAATGTTTTCTGCAAAAGCATTTACAATTAAATAAAGCCTTTCTGTCTTCTTTATATTTTTAACTTTATGAAGCATTGTACTTCTTAGATTAAGGATTCATCGCATATCTTAAATTAGATTCTCGTGTATATATATTTTTGTTTTAAAGCTCCAAAGGAAGAAACTTTACTTATTATGTGAACATGCAGTTTGCAAAAAACATCCATGACAAGATGGTTAACCGGATGTATGAATTGTAAGTAAAGTGAGTTTACATGATTGCTTATGCATCTTTTTATATATTCTCTGATCATGTTGGTATACTGTCCTCTACAAAGAAACAAAAGTTCTCTACCAGCAAATAATGTGGGAGGTTGTATAAAATATCAGAAGAACACGGAAATCATTGATTTCTTTCCCATGGATGTGTCTACTGACAAAATTGCAGTTATACAGGTTTTTTTCCTTATTTATTTTATTTTTTCTGTGACCTATATCAACCAGTTTGAATCATGTACTATGGAAAACTGTAACATAAAATTTTGAAGTGGACAGGAAGCTTACTGGAGTATGACATCAGCACTTTCTGAAGCTGATGGAATTGATTACACTGATCCTGAAGAGGTTTGATTCCATAAATTTTTCATTTTGTCTTGGTTATTGTCTGTGTATTGATGTAATTTATTTTCCTACTCTTTTCTACAACAAACAGCTTGAGTTGCTGATTACTGCCCTTATAGACCTTGATGCATTGGATGGGAAGCAAAGTGCATCCTTGTTGGCAGAGTGTGCAAGATCTCCTGATGTCAGTACACGGTAAGCTACTCTAATAGTAGTGTTTGAGGAATTATGTTTGCATCATCTACTTAATGTGTCAAGTTAGAAGTGAAGAATCATGTTTTCTGTTTAAACCAATCCAATTTTGCTGTAAAAGCCTCTGGCAAGAGTGTAACTAGAAGAATAATTTTAGTAGTGATATTGCTGCATGCCATGCCATGATGAGCATAAGCGTAGCTGGCACCACATTTGTAACATGCACTCTTTTTTTAAACATATTTTCATCCTTTTGTTCCAGTTATTACACCTGCTATTTCTACTGGCAAAACTCCCCAGTTACTAAGTTGTGCAATATTTAAACAGTTAATGATATAAAGCTTCCATAGACCAACAGTGGAGAAAAATATGGTTATAACATGATTGCAACTTACCAACTTGACATGCTTTGATGTGTTTTCCTACCTTTTAATGCTCACTCTGTGTATGTGCAATTGTCGGGTGCCCTTGTGGATGCATGTGTTTCTAGACAAGCATTAGCAAATGCATTGGCGAAAGCCCCATCCACATGGGCTTTAGGAAATGCGGGCATGGGAGCATTACAGGTAAAATGATGTAGAGACTTATTTTTGCAGGAGTTGTAGTGTTAGGAAGTTGCTCCCGATATGGTGTAATTTATGACTGGCTTTCTTTCCAGCGGCTGGCAAAAGATAGCAGCCCCGCAATCGCTGCTGCAGCATCCAGAGCTATTTATAAATTGAATAAACAATGGGAAATAGAGGAAGGTTACGGCAGAGGGAAAACAAAGCAGCCGAGAATCTGACAGCTAAGAAGATACCTGCTGAGATATACTTGAAACCTTGATCTCCTGAAGGTGATTGCTGCTGGTGTGAGGAACTTGCTATATCTGATGGTTATATGCATTATAGAACGCAGGGTAAGCTTTCCTTGTGTGTGCAGAAAGTGAGCAGACTGTTTCTCTGTCAGCATATATTCATTTATGGGGCAAGTGGCGACATCTGCATAATTCGGGGAGGGTAAATTCATGCGATAGTGTAAATTTATTTCCCTTAATGTTAGATCATCTAAATATGTTAGACAAAATGATTCTGTGAACAAAATGAAAATGAAACATCATTTTGCCTTTCCCTTTTGTTTTCTTTTTGCTCTTGGATGACGTGAATAACTGAATATAGTCTCGTACCCGAGGCAACCTTTGGGGGGAGAGCCATAACTCCATTTTAAAATCTCAACCATAGTTATAGTACTTTATAATAGGAGTCATAACATTGGACTGGGAAAGCACTCGTGTCGTTGCCTTTGCACTACTGACGCCTAAATCATTTTTTTTTTTGGGCCCATGATGCCTAAATTATTTGAGTAATCTTTTGGCAAAATTATGCTCAAGAATCACTATTTTTTTTTTAAAAAAAAATTGATGTTGGTTGTGTATGGCTTGTAATAAACTTTCGGCGCACAGAAACGAGGGCATCTACAGCAAATGGTGTTCGAGGCTTGTCCTGAATAAGAGAATCAGTGTCTCGGCGTTTGAAATGATTGTTGCATGTCATAATGCTCTCATGTATGTTATAAGATTAGGTCTTATTTTTTTAAAATCTCTTTCTTGTTTGGAAGACTAGGGCTAGATGCACTAAATTTAAACTCTCCTGTATCTATGCTTTACCTTTGTGTGTGATATGACAATGAAATAGATTATTAGCAAGTTCACCACTGTTTAGCTTTACCACTGATTGGTCTAACTATCATAAGAATTTAGCATCTAGTTAAGTGTGACCGTCATGCACCCAAAAAAGGTAGGGGGGGGGGTAATATGTGTGTTTGGTTTCAGATTTTGATGGAAGTAGATACTTATGTACTTTTACCAATTCTTGGTGGATTCTAATCTAAAATGTTTAATTATAAATTGAATGTCATTAACTATTTGATAAACTATTTAAGTGAGTTTTTTTTTAATCAAAATAATTGACTTTAAGGTGTGTTTTCTACTTTTGTCCCCAAAAAAAGGGTGTGTTTTCCACTATGCTTAGGTGCTCTTAAATCTTCTTTATAGTATATATTTCGCAGGCTTCTTACCTATCAAAAGTTGAGAGTACTCAAAAAAACGAAGAGTCAATCCCATTACTTTTTTTTTTTTAATTGAAGAGATGCATTCATAATTAAAATGTTATTATATCAAGGACAAATGATCCGTTGAACTACTCTCATCATCCACTACCTCATGTGATAAAAATTGAAAATAATTAAAGGTACAAAAATTATTATCTAATCTATGAGATATTTTAACAAGGTGATCAATATAAGTATTAGAGTACTTAATAGTATAATAAATGAGCGTGTTTAAATTCTTATGAAATAAAATACGAACATTCTCTATTACATCTTGAAAGAGATGTGAAGGTTTACACCCTTTAGTAATTAAACTAATAGTCTTGATGTAATCACAGTGTATATCAACTCTACGTAGATCAGTATTTCATCCTATTACGAATGTATAAATGAATATATCCTTTTAATTTATCGATGTAAAGTTGTTAGCTCGGATTCTTCCGGAAGAATACTCAGTGCTCATATAATAAAATCCAAAGTCCAAACAACGTCCAGAGATAGAGGAAAATGTTGAAGTGGCTTTAGGTGCATGTGGGACAGTCATTGCCATGGTAGTTGTTTTATGTCATTGGTTAGTTAAAAAAAACACATTCTGGTCCCTGCTTATTTAACCTCGGCTTAATTAACTTGGTTTGATTTCATTAATTAAGCCTTTTGGGTTAGGTGAGGAGGTTTGATTAGCTTCTTTGATTAAGGCAATTAATTGTCTGCAACTTACATCGAGTAACGAGGGCTTTTACTTTTTAAAAGCTATACAGAAAGCAGAGACCTAAAGGGCAAAAAAAAAAAAAAAGCAAAAGGTAAGGGAGGGAAGGAAGGGCATGATACCTCATTACATGGTTTTTTCAAACTTTGTTGATAAAAAAAAGCCTTCATGTCACTATCACAGTCCCCCTGATTTGATCCCCTCCATCATGCCCCCCACTGTAAGTATCCTTCTTTCATCATTTCCTTCCCTCCCCTTCTCTTCACCTTTTTTTAAATGATGAAAATATTTTTAATATTTAAATAGAATTAATATCAATATAAAAAAAAAAAAGGATAGGAAGCCACACCATGCAACTTGTCTGGCATTGGTGCAAAAAATAAAAAATAAATACACACACACAAAGATCTACTCTTGTTATATAAAGCTTTCTTCTATTTTTAAAATGCGTTTGATAATATAGGTCACTTTTAAATATATCATTTAAATCAAGAAAACTTAGTTATGTCAATAAATTCTTTTATAAAAATTGCTTTGGTTTTTATCTTCACTCCTAATAAATATTATAAATTTAAAAATATATATTCTCTTTCTAATAAATAAAATGTCATTTTAAAAAAAAATAAAGTAATTAAAGCTCTACACGTTCTTGCAAAATGACTTACATTTTACACCATAAATTTCTGGGAGACAATCAAGTCTCAAATAAAAAAAATTAATTCCAGCAAATCAAATTTCTATATATACATGTTAAATTTCAGTATCTATAAGTGGACATGATTTGCAAGTAACTAGTACCTCCTATATGTAATTCTACCTAACTGTTTTTTTTAGAAAGTGAATTATACAAAGCGCTAGAGCTTGGAGGAAGTATATGTAATATAATTTTAAAATAAAATATATATTATATTTTAGTCAGGATTTAAATCTCTTTGAAAATATATTCTATTTAGCTATATTTTAGTTATTGGTAAAAAAAAACTATGTTTTAGTTACTCTCTCTCTCTCTCTATATATATATATATTGAGAATGAGAATCCTTAAGTGAAACTTTAACAGAAAAGTCGCTCAACTAATGATATTATTGTGAAAGGATCAGGGATTATAATTAAGGAGGAAATAAGCGCACACTTGAGAAGATTATAATTATTTTATTTGGCAGTAGTAATAATCAATAAAAAATAATAATTAAAAAGCGTACAAGGAGCGTTTGTCTAATAATAAAAGTACAGGTAGGCCTACTTACACGGTTTTATGGATGGTGGTGGGTCCATCTTCCGCGTGCTGTGGGCCAGTCCAATTTCATGGTCCAAAAGCAATACTCGTGCTTGACCTTTTTGAATTTTTATTATTTTTATTTATTTAAAAACTATTATTTTTAATATTTAGTACTTAAAATAATGATTTATAGCTATCTATCAAAGATATTTATATTTAATAACCTTCAATATTTATATTTAATATTCAATATAAATATCTTAACAAAGAATTTTGAACTGACTTCTTTTAAAAAAAAGTAGAATAAAAGATTATTTTAACATCTGACCAGCAAAAAGTATCAATTTCTCACTATGATAAAACAATATTTAAATTTTAATTAAGAGATATGTTTATATTTAATATTCAATTATATTTTAAAGATATTTACTTTTAAATACGTGTGTGCAATAAAAGAAATATATCCGTTTAAATTCTTTAAGAACAACATGATTATTTATTACTTCAATCTTATTTATAAGTTATTTTTAATATATTTTATTGAAATTAAGAAAAATTTAAGAGTTATTAACTTTGTTTAAAAATTTTAAAAAATTTTTAACTATACTTTCATTAAATATACACACTTTAATAACTTTTTCAGAGAGTAAACATGAAAAAGTGAGATAAAAAATTGATTATAATTAAGATAAATTTTTTTTTATTTTATAAATAGAATTGGAGAGAGTAAATTTTAATTATTCTTTAACTATGGTGTACAAGAACGTCAAAATAATCCACAATTATAGAAAGCTCCACCAGTGAGAATCCCAAACACAGCAAATATGAAATCTCTTTTTTTTTTTCAGGTCAAAAGAAAGAAAGAAAGAAACCTCATTTTCATTTGTCCAGTGCATGCATATCCGCTCACAACAAACAGATGGGAACTCATAATTCACTTTACAACATACCCTCCAAAAGTATTCATATAATAACACTCTCTCTTATGATGCTGTCGCTGCCCTCAACACACACAATTAGTCTCACTCCTCTTAACAATGATACCCTTTAGCCTTTATGCAGACTAGTGAGGATACAACACACGTTACTCAACACAATACAGTACCTAAATTCCTTGCACGTTTCTCTGAATCCTCCTCCTCCTCCTCCTCCATCTCTCACACCCCATCAATGGCTGCCAACAGATTTGCGACCTTACTTCACAGAAACACCAACCCTGTTGTTGTAACTCTGGTTTATGCAGTTCTAGAATGGGTGTTGATACTGCTTCTTCTTCTGAATTCTCTGTTCAGTTATCTCATCACAAAGTTTGCCAAATGGGTTGGCCTCAAGCCTCCGTGTCTGCTTTGTTCAAGGCTCGATCATGTTCTAGAGCCAGAGAAGAAGTGCAGGGTTTTGCAGAGCGATGTTGTGTGTGAAACTCACGCGGCTGAGATTTCCAAGATGGGTTTCTGCTCTATCCATGGGAAAATGGCGGAGACACAGAGCATGTGTGAGGATTGCTTGGTCTCCATTAGAGGGATGGCTTTTGTTTCGTGGTTCTGTGAGAAATCAGAGAGATGCTCATGCTGCGATAAGAGCTTGAGAACTACTTACACAAGCAAAGAGACTTTGATTGTGGAAGCATCCGATGACGACGACGACGATGAAGACGATGAGGAAGAAGAAGGAGATAGAGAGTGCGATCATCGGATACTTTTTGATGTTGAGAGTTTTATACTCAGAGAAGTTGCAGAGGATCGTTCAAACAGTTCGGTTTCAAAGGATGCAGAGAAAGATGAGAAAGAAGATGATCTTCTTATCATTAAAGAGACGGATCCGATTAGTGAATCTCACACCAATCTTCTCCGTCGTTTCTCTGAGTCTGTTTGGGAAGATAGATCGTTAGATTGCATCAGTATGCATTTGGAAACCAATGTAGATGATGAAGATCAGCGTGTAATACCTGTGGAGTTAATAGACTCTTTTACCTCTGCAAATTTTGAACCATCTAAATCAGAAGAGGTTACTGTGAAGAAAGAGCGAAAGATCGAAACTTTGGCCTCTGAGCCATCAATTGAAGAGGAAATAAGCATGGCTGGCTTGGAGAATCATATGGTTTTGGAAGAAGATGAAGAGTTAAAAAATGATGGCGATAATACTGTTGAATCAGCCGTGGAAAAGCAAGATGATGAACAAGGTAAGAGAGAAGTACATGATCTATAGGAACTATGAAACCTTAGTTCTTTCTTGTTGCTTTTGTTGTTCTCATTTCTCTGACTTGTTTAATTAAAATCAGCACTTGAATGCACCCAAGAAGATCAATGCTCTTCAAGTGACGATGATGCTGAAGTTCAAAATGCCTTTGATGAATTCATTGCTCAGAATCATCTTTGCCAGTCTCAGTCTTTTTGTGGTGACAACAACATAGAAACAACCCTAGAAGAAGCAGATGATGCACAAGGTACAAAGAAAGTACATTACTGGTTTTGTTTTCTAGTTGGCTATTTCACTGGTTAAAACAGTTTAGAGACATATAATTCACTTGGAAGAATGTAATTTAATTTTTTTTACGTCATTGATGACAAGAAGTGTCTTTTCACACAGCCAATCTGCCTCATTCTGAACAACCCTCCTGTTCTTGTGAATGCATAGAAGATGACCAATCCTTAACAAGCGACGATGATGCCGAAGTTCCTGATGCCTTTGATAAATTCATTTCTCAGAATAACCTTTGTATGTCTTGCTCTTGCTATTTTCTTTTTGGTATCTTCTCTGATTTCTTATCACTTAATTCTTTAAAAATAAAATCTTAGTCTGGGATTATTTCCGATATATGTAATTGAAACATACATATGCAGGTCTAGTTGAAACTGGCGCAAATGATAATGATCATGCTGAACCAAGTTTGCTTGGGGAAAATCATGAAGAAACAAACCATCATCAATCATCAAAATCCTCTGAGGAAGATGAAGTAGAAGAAGACAAGCTTCCTGAAACTCCAAGTTCTGTGGATGGCCTGCATTACCTGCACAAGAAACTTTTGCTTTATGAGAAAACAGAATCTGGGGCAGCAGAAGACTCTGTGGATGGCAGTGAGATAGAAAATAGCGACTCTTTATCGACAATCGAACAGCTAAAAACAGCTTTAAAGGCGGAGAGAAAGGCTCTAAGTGCTCTATACCAAGAGCTAGAAGAAGAGCGAGGTGCCTCAGCAATTGCAGCAAACCAGACAATGGCTATGATCACCAGGCTGCAAGAAGAAAAAGCAGCAGTGCAGATGGAGGCATTGCAATACCAGAGAATGATGGAAGAACAATCAGAGTATGATCAAGAAGCCTTACAGCTCTTGAATGATCTCATGGTGAAAAGAGAAAGAGAGAAGAAAGAGCTTGAGAAGGAGCTGGAAGAGTACAAACAGAAGGTAATGGATTTTGAAGCCAGAGAGAAATTAAGGGTCTTGAGAAGAATGAAAAATGGAAGTGATAGGAGTAGGGAATCCTCTTCTTCTCCTTCTTTGGGTGAAGACGCTGAGGAGCAATCCATTGATCTGAACTGTGAACCAAGGGAAGAAGAAGATAACATTAACACAACTACTTCTATAGATACAGTTTCAAGCTTGGAGGAAATGACAATGGACTGCTTGAAGCACATGAATGCTCTTGATAGTTCATTAGCAGAATTTGAGGAAGAGAAACTGTCAATTCTAGACCAGCTCAAAGCATTAGAGGAAAAGCTCATAAATTTGGGTGATAAAGAGCAGCTTCTTGATGACTTGAACCAGAACTGCTTTTTTAGCAGTCCACAGCAAGACTTGTTCTGTAATAATGATGTTTATTCAGATGATAAACAATGTCATTCTCCAAGAATGCCAATGGGTTCTCTGGCAAAGAGGCTGCTTCCATTTTTAGATGCAGCCAATGATGATGAGACAGAAGAACCATATTCATGTGGATGGCAAGAGGAGATCTCAGCAGGTCCGACTGAAAGTACAACTATGAAAGTGTCCATTGAGGAAGAAGTTGATCATGTTTATGAGAAGCTACAAGCTCTTGAAACTGACACCGAGTTTCTGAGGAGCTGTATGGGATCCACAGAACAGGGAGATCAGAAAGGAGTGAATCTTCTTCAGGATATATTGCAGCATCTTCGTGATCTCAAGGCTGTGGAACTCAGGTTAAATGAGTTGGGTGATGCCGATCCACTGAGGTGAAGAGAAGTTGCATTAATCAAACAAAAGATCGGAAGGCACGAGGTGTGTATTAATTTCTGCTTTGTTCCAAACAAGACTTAGTGAGTAAGAGTCCTCTGTTTGCTATTTTCAGGCTCTTATTGTGGAAAGAGAAATTTTTTTGTATCTTGAAATCAAATTTTCATTGTCTAAAATATTCTTTTACTTTCTTTCTTTCTTTCTCTCTTTTTTTTTGAAGTAGTCAATTCCAAAACACACACATGTCTAAATACACACACCCACGCATCATAAGTACATATTTTAACCTGTGACCTGAGGGGAGGTTTTTGTGTCACTAGACCCAAAAAAAGGTCTTTAGTAAAATGTTGTTTTACATGTTATAATTATATGGAAGAGTTTTATAGTGTAAACTACATTATCTATTGATGAAATGTGATGTGAGTACGAAAAGAGAGAAGAAATTTTATATTATATGAAATTGAAGTGAAAGAAGAATATATTCCCTCCGTTCAAAAATGCATGACATTTTTTTAAAGATGTAGATATTAAAAACTATAAAGTATGTTTCAAGATATAATTAACGTTTTTTTTTCAAAATGTTTCTAATAAATAAATCACTTTATATTTATTTTAAAATGAAACACCCTATTAAATAAGAGTAAATATGAAAAAATAGTGTTAGTTTGAAGACAATTAACTACTTTATTAGGAGTGTAATTCAGTTAAAAATGCTTAATATTTTTTTAATAAAAGGAGTACAAGTAGAGAAAAATGATTGAGTTAAAAATTGTTTTATATCTTCAAAGTTCAACGAAAACAATCATAATTAAAATTTTCGTGGACATGATCAAAACTTTTGAAATTTATTATTGATTTCTATGTACATTTGAATATATCGTAATCCACTTAAGTTTTTTTTTTAAAAAAAAAAAAAAAAGCAAAAGTGGCAATGCAAGAGTGGTGGGATAAGTTCTACAATGTAAATTCTCTTAAAATGATCTCCAATTCTAAGTCTCCCAAATATTTTTACCTAGCAAGTGTACTATACAGATTGTTGATTTAATTGAATGGCCATCAGAGCAGACATTGAGGCGCAATATACATAGAGAACATCAAATCATAATATAACTTCATCTTTTGTTGTGCTCGATTCATATAAATGCAAAGAAATGGTTGAAATGTATTCTCATAAAATGGTAAAACTATCATTCAACTCACTATTTCGTTTATTTCTGGTCAAGCAAGGATTTACAAGTATTGATTAAATCCTAAAATTGCAGTGCAAATACTCATTGGTGGGAAATTCAAAACTATCATAGAACACACATACTGCGAGTCTTCATACTTCTTCTAAGAAATGAAAGAATCCCTCTTCCTTCAGCATAAATCAAGCTAGCTTTGGCCGTTTGGATAACATTCTATTAGCATTGTCTTAAAGAATATTTAGAGGTTTTTTTTTTTCCTTGGCGTACTTAGGATAGTCTAAATCTTTAACTTTTATCCACATCTAATCCTACCCTTATCATCTAAAGATAATCTCAAGTTAAAGGATATCGTTTTGACCGTATAATAATTGACTTCCCAAAATAAATGTTAATGAAATCGTTTCAGTTGGAATATAAGAGCTTCTTTTAAGGTAACTTTTGATTAGAGTCGAAGGAAAAATCCAAGAATCATTTACATATGCTTTCGGAGAGCATAATTTAATTGAAAATATTATAGTATTTAAATTAGTGAGCATCTCAAATAAACAGAGTTCGGAATGCCAAAAGCATATCTTAGAATTTTTTAAAATAAGTAGAGAGAATGACATATTTTGATAGGTGATTATTTTTATTATTATAAATTGGAACGTGAAAAACATATCTGGTATTAACCAGACAGAGAACGTGAAAAACACGAGTTGGGAGTAACATTCAACAGGCAACATTTGGTAAATTAATCCGTTTATAAGAGTACAGATACCAGTGATGTTACATACAAACTATAACCACCACTTTTGCCATTAAAAAAAAAAAAAAAAAAAAACCCTCCTTACATTAACGATAAAACAACTAAAACATAATGGAAGATTGCAACTACCCAACTAATAAAGGAATTAAAAATCATCATCTTTTTAGAAGGGTCATCCATAATTACATAGATATTCACCGGAACTTTTTTTTTTTTTTATCCAACCTAAATTCAACCAAACCTAACTATTTGCCCCCCAGTTGGCTGAAAATATGAAGAGCATATAATTATATAAACATGACCAATCATAGGAGTATGGCCAAGATACTGTGTGCTCTTTCATTTTAATTTTCTTTTTGCTTTGCATATATTCTTCCATTTATCTTTCAGATCTGCTGGTCTACGATCACTTAGAAACACATGAGAACCGAATTCCCAGATTTGCTTCCATGGGATTCGTTGCTGATCACTCATCCCAAACTTCTGCACTCCCTCCTGCACAAAACCCATTAAATAGACATGTAATATGAGGAGGACTCAGTCTTGACAGTTGATGAAATTCTGGATTCCATTATCTTTCTATCCTTCAATCTTCTTTTTTAATTTCTATTCTTTTTCTATCATAATGGAAGAACCGCATTTGAAAATCCAAATTCCACAACACAGTGTACAAAGTTCAAAACCATAAATTTCTGGAAGTATATTGTTCAAAGAGAAATAAAAAGCAATTAGGTTACCAAGGTTAGAGACATTATTTATATATAAAGCAATGAAAAGCAAAGAATTGATACCATTAGTATGGCTTCCTCCTCAGCTGTCCATGGAACATTCTTTCGTTTTCTTAACAGAGGGATTAGTTGTGGCTTGCTGCAAATCATATTACACAATCACGAGTTACTTTTAACCCAAAAAAATTGCCACTATTAATCCTTATAAAATGAATAAACTACTCCATCTATCAACGTCCTGAAAATTAGTCTCACAGTAAAATAAAATAGTATAAAAACCAGTCTGGACTCTAGAAATTGTTACCATTAAAATATATACCTTTGTAAAGCATATGACATGACCAAATAAGCAGAATTAATCAGCATCAAAATTGAAAAGAAGTGCAGCCATCATCATATGATGAAGATAAGTACTAAAACTTACCATTGTGTTTTATACTTTCGGGATCTCATGGAGTATCTAGAATTTACATGCTTTTCACTACCATCTTCAGAAACATTCTCTTCATTATAATGTGCGCAAACAGGCTCTTCTGATCGATCTGTGCTGCATTCTTCAGTCATTTCTTTCTGATTTTCTTCTCCTGTAGTGTTTTGCTTAACAGAGGGAACATGATGAAATAAGCCATCACCAACAGTTACATGGTCTGCTGCCTCTCGGCTTTCTTCCACTTTTTCAACACTTGAAATTTCTGTGCTCATTTTACCCATTTCTTCTCCATTTAAAACAGTATCCATCCCATTGTTTACAATTCCCTCTTTCTCGCAAAACGGGAGGATATTATCACTTGGTGTGGGAGACTCTGCTTGTTGCTGGCTTCTTTCGAACTGAAGATCACTGACTTCATTTAAATGTTCTTGATTGTCTTTTCTCCCTGTTCCTAATATCTGGTCGTTTCCATTGTCTTTGACAAGAATATTTTCACACTTATCCTGTATTGAATTGTTATTTTCTTTTCTAAGAACTTCAAGGAGATCCATTTCTTGATTCTCTGTACCCTTGCCAAGGAAGGTACATAGTTCTTCCCTTGCCACTAAAACCTCCTTCTTTGCTTCAAGATATTCCGAAACAGCAGAAGAATACGTACAAAATGGGCACAAAAAGTCTGCCTTTCCCTCAAATTGAGCAAGCTTACTCAAACAGCTTTCATGAACCTTTAATTGGCAAGTAGTTGTTTTACAAACCAGTAATTGACCACCTTCATTACACTTCATACAAAGATTTTGGCCTCTCCACTCGGTATTTGCTGAGAAATCATGACTAGATATGCAGCAAGAGCTAAATAATTCATGTCTTTTGGCTGCAAAATCAGTCATTTCAGGGTGCTCTGCTCCAAGGCCATTAAAAGAATCAACAGAAACTTCATCACGAAAAACCAACTGCCATGTGCGATTTGGATAGGCAGGATTGGGTTCCTTCTGTTGAGTATCTATTTCCTGTTCAGATTGAGACTTGCTCCTCTTATTTTTAACTTTTTCTGGATCATCAATACTTGCAGGAATGGGCACAATATGATGTTCATTATCATCCTTAGTTTCAAGGAAAAATGTGGTTTGGCAACTCTTATCATTCTTGAACTCAATATTAGAAGGTGGATAGCATTTATTTTTCTTTTCACTTCTTAGGAAACCATCACATTCTTCTACATCAACTTGCTTCTCATGCAAATATTGGATATCATGCACATCAACTGAGTGATCTCTATTTCTCTTAGAGGGTGGAAAATTCTTACTATGTGAATGTTCTTTTGATGATGAGTTCTGTTTTGCTTCCATGTTACTCTCATTACCCCTTTCAGAAACATCATTGCATTTGACATCATTTGCAGGCACTGAATAATCCTGATTCTGAAGTGTCAGCCCACTACTTTCTTTTAAGCGATCAGCACATGGATGAGTACTTTCAATGACTGACTCTTTCAGCTACTCAGAAAACAGGAATTGGGGGGAAAGATAATTAAATAATGTAAATAAAAAAAAATCATTGTAGAAGCAGAGAGGGGAAAAATAATTTTCATTTCTCTAGATAGTGACTCTTATCACCTGCTCCAATTCCAATTTAATAGAGCCATCTCTTTTGTGCGTCATAAACGAGTATACATCCCGTTTCAAACTCACTTCTCCAGCTATTTCCGCACTTGACAATGGTACCTGATTAAAATCATCAAAAGAATATGCATCTCACTTAATAATATAGTTCCCAACATCAAACTCTTCAACGAACTAGCAAATTAAATGCGTAATCAAATAGGTCCAGCTTCTGACATACAATAAAAGTAGGTACACTTCAAACATCAATTGAATAAAATTACCTCGTGCAATATTTGACGGAGGACATCTTCACAACTACTTGAAACATCAAACCCAAGTCTTGAATCCAGGCTAGAGGAAGCATCAAAATTCAAGCCACCAGCAGAACCAAACAAGCCCTCCAAACATCTCCTGGCAACCAATTCCCTTGTGTTTTTCCCAACATCACTGGGCACTACAGGGGCTACTTCGATCAAAACTGGAAGAGAGAAAATGAAATTAAAAAAAAAATCATCATGAATTATTTTTCTGTAGAAAAAACGCTCATAAAATAAGAAGCAGCTTTTTTTAGTTTGTCTTATACTTCAGCATACCTTGAAAAGTAGAGTTGTCTATTTTCTCACAACTCGCTAGGGCTTCAATGACCCAGAGCCATGGACGAGTTGATGAAGATTCAGATGTGTTGTCCATAGGTAACCCAATAGTTTTCAACGTCAAGAAAATGCAAAACTATCTTACGTCGTATGCGCCGCGGCAATTGTTCTGCACAGTAAATTCAATTTGAGAGAAGGAACAGTTCACACACGACATGAGAATCAAGCTAATTCTTTTACACAAGGTAGAAAATCACAAAACAATGGCCAAAAAAGAATTCCTTCGACTAACAAAGAAGCTACATATTTCACACAGCACAAACAGCAGACTTCAGTTGGGGGGGGGGGGAATTTATTAAAAATGTTTGGCGCATAAATTTATAACTGCAAGAACTCACATATGCCCTGGATTAAAGACAATTCCTCCAACCTAAACCTAATTATTGTCCGTTAAATGGTGATGTTACACAACCCATTGAATCAGTAAACCCGCCGCTTGAGACAATCAGCAAACAATATGAATCATATAAATGATTCTGTTAATTTTAAAACCAAAGCACGTAGGAGTTCACCATGATGGAGAAAGAAATAAAGTTTATGTTTTTTTTTTCCTCCGCTTAAATCCCAACAAAAAGACGATGGAACTCTTAGCAAGACTACCAAGAAATTTAATGGAATTAAAGATTATCTGAAATTGACGCCACTTGCAAGGAAACAGAGCCATTTACGGTTGGGGGAATGTCATAGTTGAGAGAAAGGGGTTGATAGTGCCGGTGTCTTCGCAGGCGGTGAACAAGAGAGAGGTATATTTCTACTTTAAACTCAGATTATAGACAAGTTTGTGACAGCCAGAATCGTCCTAAACCCAAATATTAATGGATCAGGACTTAGGGTTCCTCGCAAACACAGGGTTCCAAAAGTGTGAAATCAAGAGAGTTATCTATGATGATTATAGAAATCTAACCTTTCAGGTCATTGTGCGTTTAGCATCTGAAGCATAAATTCAGGATCGGGAAGCAAGACAGAGAGAAGAGGTAGGGGCATCGGGCTTCTCTTCCGTTCTGCGAGGGGGCGATTTTTTTTTTTTTTTTTTTTTTTTTTTACTTTTGGCCAAAGATAGACATGAAAAAATCGGACTAGCCTGGCTTTTAGAACCCAGGCCTTGAAATTCAATTTTTTTTGAGGAGAATTATATTAAAATTTTATATATAAAAATTAATTATTATAAAATTTATTGATAATTAAATTAATTATTTTATTTTAGTTATTAATGAATCTTATAATAATTAATTTTTTTAGGATCTAATTGTAATCATCTCATTTTTTTAACTTTTTACAAAATTTGAGGCCTGGCTTTAAGCTTGATTTCAAAAAAAAAATAAAAAAATTAATATAATTATTTTATTTTTCTATAAAGTAATTTAATTTAAAATTATAATATTTAACATTATAATTTAACTCTAAAATTAAACATAAATTAAATCAAGGTCACACATCATTTAGAAAATAAATAAAAGATTTAAAAATTTAAATACATGTTAGTTTATGTCATTAAAATTCACAACAAAATTCCTGAAACAAAATGTAGAAGACATATCAATATAATCCTCGAAGAATAAGATGAGAGATTAAAATTTTAAATCAAATTAATATCTTAAAAGCAATCATCAACTTAAAATCTCGAACATCCATGACCTCATAAAAAGGTCTATACCAAAAGAAGAATTACCATAGAGTAACAACCAAAAAGCCAAAGCGAGAATGCCGAGAGGGAGACACCAAGTCAAAAGATGCTGAGTCAAGGGACGAGAGGGAGAGGCGAGTTGAGAGATAGGGAGAGTAAGAGGGTGAGCGAAGCGTGAGAGAGAGGGGCGAGATAGTTGGGAAAAATGAGAAGTTAAGTCAAGAGATAAAAAGAGCCAAAGAATTTAAAATTGTCAAATGTTTAGGATTTTTTTTCTTTTTGCCAAACAATAGATTCCAAGGTAAAAGGGGGTAAAATAAAACAAGGTTTGAAGGGCGCCAAGGCTTGGTATTTTTTTCTCAAAGCTTATCATGGTTGGGTTTGAAAACCTAGTTATTTTAAAAATTCTCTATTTTTCAAGCTCAAATTATTATTCAAACAGAGTCTTTAGACCTGACTCTAACAAAAGGCAAGTGGGTGATGAAATGTGGTAGAAAAAAACTTCTTTGTCCTTGTTCATTGCTCTAATTTTAAAATTAGCCACCATACTTTTAATATTGAAAAAATTACAATCAAGAATACTAGACACAATTGATTGTTGTACATGATTAAATAATTCCTATATTACTTGCAAGATTAAATGATCTAATTGTAATTAAAATTAATCATGAAAAGGCAAAAGTACCTCTCATGTGTGTGTGTGTGTTTTAACAAGTTACTGTTTGAAGAAAAAAGCCTCATTTTTATTTTAACAATAATTAATTCTCTCATTAATAACTTCAAAAAATTAATTTGATGGTGAAGAGAAATAAATATTATGATTTGATAAATAAGTCTCTATTTGAGAAAAAAATAAGTCATATTTTCATTTTAACATTAATAAACAATTCCAAAAAATTAACTTAATGGTGGAAAAGAACAAGTATTATAATATGATAAATGAGTCTGTATTCAAGAAAAAATTAAGTCTCATTTTCATTTTAATAACAATTAATTCTTTTATTAACAACTCTAAAATATTAACTTGGCAGAGAGGAATTATTGTAATTTAGTGAACAAGTCTCTATCTAAAAAAAAAAGGTCCTTTTTTCAACCAAAAAAAAATTAATTACATGTAAGTCTTCTAGACTTGCAGCAGAGTAATATAAAAATTATTTGATTATGTAGAGTAATTAATTGTGACTAGTGATCTCTGATTGTGATTTTCTCTTTAATATTTGTATTCAACACCCCCATAAAATTGAATTATTTAAAATTTATTTACAGTAATATGAATGTTTAATAAAATGATTTATTTATATTTATAATCAGTTTAATCAAGGTCAAACTATAATTTTGATTATTAATCTTTAAGTGAATATCTTGACCAATTTAATAATGGGTTCAGTTTTAATACTTTGATTATTTCCCCTAATTTGTAGGCAACTCTAGAAATTATTCCCACAAATTTATTTTAAAGTATGTTTTTAATAGAATATTCTAACTACTCTCCTATTTTATTTAAATTACACAGAATTTTTTATTTTTTTAATTCAAACCCACTCGATGCATTGTCATAGAAGCAATTTTCTTATGGATGAGGTAGTGGGTTTAATTCCCCTATGGCTGGTTTAGCCCATTTTAACTCAAAGCTAAATGCCTAATACAAAGAAAGGCCCAAATCAGAACGGGTCTCAATGATATATTAAGCCGAGCAAAAAAACATGTGTCAGCTAATTTTTTGTTCGGCCAAAAACAGCGGACTGGGCGTCGCCTAATGATGATTTTATTGCCCATTCTAAAAATTAAAAGTTAACTGACAGAAGTTGAGTTTAATGAAAGGAACTAGTCTCTTGCAATATAATAAATTTAAATTTAAATTTTATTAAAAAAATTTATATTTAGTATTAAATAGTATTTTGGATATGATTACTTTTGCTAGGAGAATAGCTATAGGCAGCAAAATTAAAGGATGAAAACACCTTCCTGAACATTTAATTTTTTTAGCACCTCAAAATAGCTTCCTAAACTATTAATACCACTCATCACTTTTATTTTTTTCTAAAATACCTTCCCTCTCATTATTTTTTATATGCTAACTTATTAATAGAAGTTGTCATATTAGATTGATAAAAGACATAGTGCAGCTTAAATGACATTATATAGCCAATAATTTCATTAAAATTATTTCACCTTTTCACATAAGGTACTGTCGTACAGCTCCAACCTTCGGAACAAGCCCTCTTTCTTTCAACATCGCAAACAAAACAAATGGTATTGAATACAATAGAGAGATTCAATTAAATATTACGATAATAATGTTAGGATGTTGGAAAGGTGGTAATTTGTCCAAGCCAGTGAAATAATTCTCCTTACCAATACAAGATTGATCTGGTTATTAAGAATTTGATGCATAATTTTAAGTTATTTATTCAATTTTCAGTATCGATATAATGTGAGAGCTTTGTTAATAAGTAATGTATAAATAGTTTTATAAAATTTTTAGAGTTTGAAATATATCTTGGCTCTAAGGAACCCTAAAAACCCGACCCACTTCAAAAAAATCTCTGCCAAAATATTATTTTGTGTGTTATAGAATTTAACATAAAATTATTTGTTTCGTGCCAAAAAATGAGTCAAACTATTTGCATATATATCTTTTAAAAAAAAAAAAAAAGATACGCACACACATCTTCATCTCTCCCTCCAATGCCATGGTTCCTTATTCCGTCATCACTTTAGGCTTTTCTCTTGTGGCCATGATTCCATGCATTTGACTTTGTTAAGCAACTTCCACACTACATTTGTAAATTAAATAGTTTTGTATATTGAAAAAAAAATTACAAGTTTTCGAACTATTATAAATTATCAATATAGGGCTATACAGAGAAAAGGGCTCGAGAGGCCAAACCCGGCTTGGTTCATACAAGCTAATTTCACAATTTTTATTTATAAATTATATATAAATAAATAATCATATTCAAGATATGATAGCCAAATATTAAATATCTCAATTTTAAACGAAAGAGACTAAATTTTTCTTGAATAAAAATGAAGTTTGTTCTTCATAAATTCGAATCTAATTTGGTAATATGATATATAAAACAGTTGCATAAAAAAAAGGAGGGGCTACTCAGTGGCATCCTATCAAATTTGTTGATCCTCTCATATTCTCAATTTAGCCGAATATTTTTTTTTTTAAAAAAAAAAACATCTGCAACTACCGTTCATGTGGTTGATGCGGACGAGAGACAAAGCTGTTGTAGCTGATTCCTCGAGCCCATGAACTTTCCATGGCCCATATGTGGCCCGCTGCAATTGGTTTGAAATTTCGATGCTGTATTCAATGTTATCGACAAAAACCTCGTCTTGATCCATTTAATAAGCGTCATGCCTTGAATTTTTCAAAGTGACTTTGGGTAAATCAAGGAGAAATATTAACATAAAAGCATTTATTTTTAACATATAAGTTTGGGGGAAAAGAAGGATATACCATTCTATATATGTCTCTATATATCTTTCATAGCTTGTCAAAAATTACTCTGGTCCATGTCTGGTTCACCTCACAGTCTATTTCACTTCCATGATCAATAATGTAATGCCCTGCTTTCATATAATCAGTTTGCTTGTCATTTCAAATTTCATATATAAACGCTTTTATATTGTCTCTACTCTTAACTTGTCTTTCGTTTCGAATTTTGTCTCATCTTGATTAACGTTGAATGTCTTTTAATTTTTGTTCCTCTTACTTTAATCATTAAAATGATTTTTTTGTTCATGTTAAACTTGATTTTTGAATTTGTAGCTTGAAAATTTTATGGATTTTGGACGTGAAATGAAATTATTTTAAAGAAAATCATCAATAAGTACATGTTTACTTGACAACTAAAATCTTTAAAAAATAAATTAAGATGATTTTAATGAAATTATTATAATTATTAATTTTGTTTAATTATTTTCATAAAAAATAATATAATAACATGTTATGCTT